AGGCAGCGGAAGACGAAGAGAAGCAGACATTGCACGTACAGCTGGTGGAGCTGAGATTGATAGTCTGGCAAATAGGGGAGCAGTGGGGGTCCTTCTGGGGAGTTGGAAGATGGCTCGTATGCCAGACTTAGCAATGCTAAGCAGTCGATGTAGCAGCAGTTTGGATAGAGCGGGAAAGAAACAGTTTGAGGCACAGCAGAGAACAGACTGGATCATACTCATGTACCAGGCCCGGCGGGCATTGAGTGAAAGGCACCGTCCATGGCGCCAGAGCTGCCCGATTGTAGTAGCAGTCTTGCTGGCAATAAAGTCCACTTGGAATGTAACAATTTTGTTTTGTTTTAAGTTGAAACAAGGAAAACGGTGGGGCACAAGTTATGCGCTAGAGTCCACCAACCAAACCAGGTTTTGAACAGTCAGACATGCACAAGGTAGCACCAGACCGACTAGGAGTACTGAGACATTCCACGGCAAGTCAGTGAGCTTGAGCACCACCCGATAGCCCTGACCAACATCAATATTTCTAGTTACACATTTTCTATTATTTCACCGGCACCTCATGCTCCATGGCCAATTTGAACACAACAAAAGTGTCAGAGAGGGTTTTAGACATCCTATAGGTTCCAAGCAGGCTAGGCAGCGAAATAATATTACAATTTACGTCAAGATGGATTACCTGAGCAGTTCCGTAACATCAGCTGACATTCGTCAACATCACTGCATTGACGTAATCGCGGCGACGGAGACGCGGCTTGCGGCGGCACGGACGCGGCAAGCGCGAGCGTGGCGTTGAAGCCGGTCAGGCACGGGCAGTCGTAGCTGCCGAGGGTGTTGGCGCAGCGCGTGTTGCGACCACAGCTGTGCGAGTCCCCGGCACATTCGTCCTGGTCTGTGCAAGCACCGGTGGCCAGGTTCTGTGTAAAGCCGTCGCGACACGGACACGTGTAGCTGCCCGGTGAGTTCTGACAGTACGTTAGTCTTAAGTCACAGCCATGCGTTTCACTGTTGCATTCGTCAACATCTGCGTTGGAGATAATGCGAAAAAAAATACAGACAGATGCTTGCGCAAACATACGCACGACTACACATGCATGCGGACTCGAATACACATGCATACGCACGCGAATACACGTGCATATGAATGCGAATACATGTGCATACGCACGCGAATACACGTGCATACCCACACGAATACAGATGCATTCAAACACACGTGCATACGCACACGAATACTCGTGCATATGCACACGAACACACGTGCATATGCATACGAATACACGCGCATATGCATTCGAATACACGTGCATACGCACACGAACAGATGTGCATATGCATTCGCATACATGTGCATACGCACACGAACACACTGGTAATGTTCTCAGAAACTTGGATTCCCTTACAAAATGTCATATCTGATACAGTCAGACCTCGCTTATCCGGTCGGTCCTCCTTTATCCGGTAACCTCCCACGACAGCGCGTCCATGTTAGCACGGTGCACTTCAGCGCGACCGCCTTAGCGTGAGGCATTTCAGCTCGGTGCCATTTCAGCGCCGTGTCTGGAAAGCGGCAATGATTTCAGCGCGAAATTTAAAGCGCAGGACACGTCAGCGCCAATTTCTTCAGCCCAGATTTTTCCGCGGGTGAGGCACTTCAGCGCTGTACATGTTAAAGGGGAACTCCGGTCCAAAATCAGCCCCATTTTTATTGCGGAATCCATTAGAGTATGTCGTAAGTGGTAGAATGGCGAAAACCGGATGCTTCTACGACAAGGATAACATACCTAAATTACCAATTGCAATTTCCATATTTGGCACGAGGGGGCCCCCTCCCACCCTGTGACGTAAAACGTTCTCAGCCCGGTCCACTCAGATGAAATTTTCAAATAATTGAAGCAAAAATGAAAAGTCCTTGGCCATTGTTGAAGTGCTTGTTGTTCTGTGCCATGCCCGATTTATTATCACGACTCGCTGCTGCGTCTCTGGATGTGACAATGTCACGAAGAAAGAGGCGCCTGCGGGCTGTCGTAGCATGGCTTTCCTCTGGCTGACGCGAACCTGACGACAGCTTGGCTATGGAGAGTATGTTGGAAGGATTTTTCTCCGATGAAAAATAATCGTGTCTGCACTGAGCATTTCACTGAGATGTGCTATGAAAGAGATTTCCAACAAGAGTTTGCACAAAGCATTAGTGGCTATAAGCAGAAGCAGCAGCGACGCTTGAAGTCAGGGTCCCTGCCATCCTGAAACTTGGCGGTGCATGTCATACTAATAGTAGCTCCTCTACCTCTGCTGCCAGCAAAAGCAGACCACCTTCGATTTACTTCCAGAAATGTGAGCACGATAAGGTAAGTGAACGGCATGATTTTGTGCCGTCCAGAACGTAGCTCTAAACGACTACAGTCCTACTCAAAGTCCTAGTCAGTGAAGTCGAGAATTGATGTACAGTCAGGCCTCGCTTAACCGCACACATCTGTTTTCCACAAAAAATATCCGGATAGGCGAGGGAACCGGATAACTGAACACACATACTGTATATGCATGTGGCATGTCAAAAGCAGTGACATCGTCATACATGTACATGTAGACTAGACGCGGGTCCTACGCAGTACAACCAGCGTGCACAGTATGTAAAACAAGCGAGAAAAATGACAAGTGCATGCAACTGAGTGCTGTGACTGCTGTCTGCATGCACCCAGCAGGTCAAGGACCTCATTTTGCTTGTACAACTCCCTGATTCTAGCTTCTGCAAGGCACATGCAACCGGATACGACGAAGCTTTTCGTACAGATTTTAACCAGTTTGTACACGAAATCATGCACCTGTATGCGGACCGCGAGGTCCGGTTATGTTGTATGCATAACATATGCTGCACATCAGTAACCAGCGATTTTCTTCCGGATGGCGAGGGATCCGGATAAACGAGGTATGACTATAACGTACATGGAAGGTTATCATGTGTGTTATTTCGGTTCTCTTTATCTGTAAGTTTCCATTGCGTTACTTTCCGGTTGCAGCTACACTGCCACAAATACAAGGTACAGTATAGTGATTTGTATCATTTACCATTCCTTGGCCTTGTATTATTATAAGAAATGTACGGTACTTTTCAAATTTCGCAACCTGATGGCATGTATTTGAGGAGAGAGCATGGCTGACACAGGGTTCAGACCAGCACAAAATCCTGGAGAGCATCGTCATGGGCAAGACGTTGCTCAACGATATGAAGCAGCTCACCGAGTTCTGCCATACAGGCAGTCTGGAAAATTACCATGCTGTCATACTGAAGTGGGCACCAAAACGTGTCCACTTTTCGTACAATGGCATGAGAGCACGGGTACACATATCATATAATGGGATCCATATAAGTGGGTATACCCAGGATCCATATAATTATGGTCACGCGGTGCAAACCTCTAACTAAAGACCACCTGCTACTAAAGACCGCTTTTGCTGGCACCAAGGGGTGGTCGTTAGTCACAGGTTTTACTGTCTTAGTGACTATCAATGACTATTGACAACTTGTATGGGGTATTACCACTGCCATGTACACCAGTCACCCTATAAAAGACACAGTATTTTCGCGGATAGGCCATAAATTTCCTTAATTTTCCTATGCAAGCTAACTCTCAAAAATGAAATTGAACCGATTTGAGACAGCGCTGACGTATATGCGCTGAAGTGCCTGGCGCTGACGTTACCTCGCGCTGACAGTACATCGCGCTGACAGTACATCGCGCTGAAGTGCCTTGCGCTGAAGTGCCTCGCGCTGACACTACCTCGCGCTGAAGTACCTTGCGCTGAAGTAGTCGCGCTGAAATGCCTCGCGCTGTAGTGGACGCGCTTTCGAAGGATGGAATCCTTTATCCGGATCCCTCACCATCCGGATGAAAATAACTTACTGGTTACCGATTTACAGCATACATGTGCGTGTTGCATCCAACATAACCGGTGTTCGGCTATCCGGCTCCCTCACCTCTCCGGATATTTTGTGAAAAACGGACGCGTGCGGTTGAGTGAGGCCTGACTGTATCAGCTTGCTCTCTACTCCTCACTCACCTTGGCAGGATCCTTGTAGGCCGTTTCCAAGGAAACCCATTCGGCAAGAGCAGCTGTATGTTCCGATGTGATTTGCGCAGGTAGCTCTCCCGGACGCGTCGCAGTTGTTGGTGCCGCGCTGGGCGCATTCGTCCGTGTCGATGCACTCGAGACGCCCGTCGTTGAACTGAGCGGTGCCGGTGCTAGCATGGAAGCCACCACTGCACAGGCATTCGAAGCCCGGCCGTGTGTTCCAGCAGCTTGCGTTTGCCTGGCACGGCGGAGAGTCACCATTGCTGCTGCTACTGCTGCGGCTACACTCATCTACATCCACACACCGCTGGTCAATCAGCTCCGCACCGGCTTGACACTCGCACTCGTACGAGCCAGTGTTGTTGTTGTTGTCGTTGGGCGAGCGTAAAACGCACTCGCCCAGTGGCGTGCACGACCGGGACACTGCCCGGCAGTCTGCTGGCAAGCAAGCACTGCCATCGCCACCCGCGGAGGCTACGTATCCTGGAGAGCAGGGACAGGCGAAGCCACCGTCAGTGTTGCGGCAGAACGTCGAGCCTCCCGCGCAATCGTGCGTTCCCGCCGTACATTCGTCAATGTCGGAGCAAGCCTGACTACCGTCATGTGAAGAAACTGATACAGCATATCCCGTGGAGCAGTTACATCGGTAACTGCCCAGGGTATTGTTGCACCCACTCGATCTACCCTTGACAGCATCACTGCAGTTGTGGATGCCAAGTGCACATTCATCTATATCCAGACACAGGTAACGGTAGTCGTAGACGGGGAGTTGTTGGTACTTAAACCCGACGGCACACTCGCATCTAAAGGACCCTGGTGTATTGATGCAAGTAGAGACGTTGGCGCTGCCACACCGATAAGCATATTCACACTCATCATAGTCCGTACAAGTGCCGTTTCTCCGAGAATAGCCCTGGCGGCATCCGCAGTTAATAGTGCCGTACAGAGAGGACCGACACACCTCGTTAGTGCCATTGCACTGGTGCTGCCTCTCGGCGCAGTAGTCAATTCTCGTGCAGTTGCCCGGCAATCCGCTGCCACGGTACCCGGTTTGACAACCGGCACATATGTATCCCAAGTTGTAGTTTACGCAGTTGGCGTTGTGATCGCAGTAAAGGCCCGAATAGAAGTGCCGGTGGCTGCACTCGTTTCTGTCGGCGCAGCTATAGCCGGTGTGCTCGGACCCCTCACGGCACGTACAGTTGTACCCTCCCACCGTGTTTGTGCATGTGCCGTACGGCCGGCACGCACCGTGCACCGTACACTCATCCACGTCCACACAACTACCGTCGGCGGCGGTGCGATAGCCGGCCGCGCACCGACACGCGAACCCGGGGGGCGTTGCGTGAAGATTGACGCACTCGATGCCGAAGCCGGTGCAGTTGTTCAGCGTGTCGTTGAGACATTCGTTTACATCGTAGCACACTCTCCCATTGCCGCTGTAACCTGTGCGGCATTCGCACGAAAACGAGCCATACGTGTTATTGCAATCCGCGTGGGTATGGCAAAAGTACCTGGAACACTCGTCCAGGTCCACACATCGTCCGTTGCTAGATCTGAATCCCAGCGGGCAGCTGCAGCTGAAGCTCCCCAGCGTGTTCTGACATGTTCCCGACGCGTTGCTGGTGTTGGCACTGCAGCTGTTAGCCGGCAGCAAACATTCATTAATGTCAATACAGTCGCCGGGTAGTCCCGATCCTGTGAAGCCACGCTGACAGCCCAGACACCTGTAGCCAAGCTCCGTGTTCTCGCAGTTGGCATAGCGGTCACACGAACGATTTTCCAGCCGATAGCTGTACGAGCATTCGTTGATGTCGTGGCAATGTCTGGAGTAGAGGACCTCGGAACCGTTTACACAATCACACGTGTAACTGCCTTCAGTGTTTGTACACGTGCCGTAGAAGCGGCACGCGCCGTACTTAAGACATTCATTCACATCCGCACAAACACCACCGTCGCCGCCATACGATGACAATTCATAGCCAAGCGAGCATTGACAACTGTAGCCTCCGTTGTAGTTGCGGCATGTCTGGTTTCTCGCGGTGCAGGCACGCAGAGTTTCCGTGCCATTTCCACATTCATCAACATCAATGCAAGCGCGTCCGTCGAACATCAGCCCAGTCGAGCAGTTACATAGGTATGAGCCATGAGTATTGCGGCACGACGCACTGTAGGAACAGTAGCGATAGCGATTGGAATATGAGCATTCGTTTAGGTCTGTGCATTCTCCCAAGGAGGCGTCGAATACGAATCCTGTCAGACAGTCGCAGTGAAAGCTTCCGTGCGTGTTCACGCAGCGTTCGCCGCCGGTGACATTACAACCGTCTGTTCCCAGTGCACATTCGTCGACATCCACACAGCTGCCGACCGAACCGTCACCGGTGTATCCAGTGAGGCAGCCGTGGCACTCGTAGCTCAGTGGCGTGTTTGTGCAGTTGGCATTCTCGTCACAGAATAGCAGGCTGCTGCGATAGTGCGGGGAGCATTCGTCACGGTCGACGCACCGTTCGTTTTCCGCTCCGGCCGCGCAATCGCAGGCGAAGTATCCCGGATAGTTGGTGCAGTTTCCGTATGGCTGGCAGGCGATCTGCTCGACGCATTCGTCAATATCGACGCAATCGGAGCCCTCTCGTCGAAAGCCGTAGAGACAGTCGCAGCGCACGTTGCCATAGTACCTATCCACGCAGATCTCGGCTGTTCCATTGCACGGGTTCAGCTCCGGCACCCGGCATCTGTTCAGCGGGCTGCACGAGTACCCATTGCCCGTCCAGCCCGGGTCGCAGTCGCACTCAAAGCTACCGGGAGTGTTCCTGCATGTCGCTCGGTAGTAGCACCGGTACCCAAAGTAGGTAGAGCATTCGTCGACGTCCGTACAAGCACCCAGACTGCTGCTGTAGGAGTACCCAACGTCGCAGCCACAGAGAAATGAACCAGGCGTGTTCAAACAGGTCGTGTAGTTCTGCTCCGCGCAGAGTGAAATACCCTCGTCTTGGCATTCGTCAAGATCCGTACACCTGCCCTCTGCCTTATGGAAACCATGTCGACAGCCACCGCAGTCGTAGCCGAGAACTGAGTTGCTGCAGTTGGAGTTTCTGTCGCAGTATCGCTCGCCGTACGCTTTGAAGTCGCATTCGTTGATGTCTAGGCAAAGTACGCTGACTTGCGTTGCACCTTGCTGGCAATTGCATTCATAACTTCCGACTGTGTTCGTACAGTTGCCATGCGGATGGCAGAAGACCGTAATTTCACATTCATTCTGGTCTGTACATTGCAGATCGGATGAGCTGCCGCCGTCATCTGGCTGAAAACCGGCCTTGCACTGGCAGGAGTAACTTCCCGGCGTGTTTACACATTCAACGGTTCCGTGCGAGCACGTGTCCATGACGGCCGGATCCTCGCATTCGTTGATGTCCTCGCAGCCACGGTAACTGTAGTCATAGTAACTCCGCCAGCCCGGGCCGGTGTAACCGGGGCGGCACTGACAGACGAACGAACCCACCGTATTGACACACGTCGAGCGAGCGTCGCAGTTACGGCTCACCGTGTACCACCTGTAGCATTCGTTGATATCGACACAGCGCGAGCCGGCGCGTTGATACCCGGGCAAGCAGATGCAGAAGTAACTGCCGGCAGTGTTGATGCACACTCCGCCGTGCTCCTCCCTACACAGTCCCACCAGGCTGGCGTTGGCACATTCGTCGTAGTCGACGCAGGAGCCGGCGCTTCCGTCGCCGTGGTAACCCGGAAAACAGCTACTGCAGGCGTAGCTGAGATGCGTGTTCACGCAGAACGCTTTGAGATCGCAGAAGCGGCCTCGGTGCTGGTCGGAGCACTCGTTGCGATCCAAACACTGTCCGCCGCGCTCTTCGGCACCGTCGGAACAGCTGCAGATATGGCTGCCCTGTGTGTTGGTACAATTGCCATACGGTGTACAGTAACCCTGATCACACTCATCGCGGTCCACGCACAGATCAGGATCGTTGTGGTTCTCGTCTGATGGCGCGGTCGTGAAGAACGCGCTCGGCGTCGCCGTCATGGCCGGCAGAGTCGGCGCGGTCTGGTTATCGACCTCGTATCCGGGCGAACAGGCACAGCGATAGGAGCCCTGCGTATTGTAGCAAGAGATGAGCGTGGTGTCGTTGAGGCAGTCGTCCGCACCCGAGCTACACTCATTGATGTCAAAGCAGCGATTGTAGCGACCAAATCTGTAGCCGTATTGCCTGAAACCAGGCTCGCACTGGCAGCTGAAGGATCCGGGGGTGTTCACGCACATCACGTCGTCGTAGAAACACGGCCGGTAGTACTCCAGGCATTCGTCCCTGTCGTTGCAGTAACCGGAGCTGTTGATCCTGTAGCCGTAGGGACAGTGACAGTAGAACCCGCCCTGCACGTTCCTGCACTGGAATCCGTTTGTGCACTCGTGAAGGCCGTCCACACATTCATTGACATCCATGCAGTTGCCAGGCGTGCCGTCTCCTTCGTAACCGTCTCGGCAGCCGTCGCATTCGTAGCCCAGCTGAGTGTTCGTGCAGTTGGCGTTCGGGTCGCAGAACTGTCTCGAAAATCGGTTGCCGAAGTCGCACTCATCCCGATCCACACAGCGGCCGGACCGCAGCACCGAGCCCGGAACGCAGCTGCAGTTGTAACTGCCAACCGAGTTTGAGCAGGTGCCGTGAGGTAGACAATAACCCAGGGCACACTCGTCCACATCAACACACTTGTCGGGATCGTTGTTGACGATCGGCGGCGCGTTAGTAACGAACGGGTTGCTTGTGAACGGCACAAACGGCGAGAGGGTTGGCTGCACTGAGGAGGTCTCGTTGGCGTCCGCACTGCCGTTCACCTGTACGAAACCCGGAGAGCATGCGCACAGAAATGACCCGTGCGTGTTGTAGCATGATATGTGGCCAGTAGTGTTGTCGCAGTCGTCCGCGCCGACGCTGCATTCATCGATGTCGTAGCAATGGATGTAAGGCTGACGGCCGTAGAGCTGACGGAACCCTGGCTCGCACTCGCAGCGGTACCTTCCCGGCACGTTGACACACACTGAATTGCTGTAACACCGGTAGTAGTTCTCCAGGCACTCATTCCGATCCTCACAGCGTCCCGACGAGGTGTTAATGCGATAGCCGGACGGACACCGGCACGAGAAACCTCCATAATAGTTATTACAGACGAATCCGTTTGTGCACATGTGCAAGCCCAGCGCACATTCGTCAATATCCGAGCAGTTGCCGGGGGAACCGTCGCCCTTGTAGCCCGACCTGCAGCCATTGCAATCGAAACTCAGCGGTGAGTTGGTGCAGTTGCTGCGATAGTCGCAGTACTGAGTGGGTCCGTAGTAACGATTCTCGCATTCGTCAATATCGACACACTGATTGCTGTACGCAACGAGCTTGGCACCTTTCACACAATCACATACAAATGAACCATGTGTGTTGTTGCACTGGCCATACGGTTGGCAAATTTCGTTCGGTGAGAGAGAACATTCGTCCACGTCCAAACACGACGCTCCATTACCGGTATATCCACTCATGCAAGTACAGACAAATGAGCCAATTGTGTTGTTGCAGTCGGACTCCCGCGGACACAGCTCGTAGTTTCCCACGTAGCACTCGTTTACGTCCGTGCACGTAGCCCCATCACCCGTGTATCCGCTGCCACACACGCACTCGTAACTGCCCTCGCTATCCAGGCACTCGGCATTAACACTGCATGTGGCCGGCGTTGCGGCAGCAGCACTCGCTTTACATTCGTCGATATTCTCGCACGGGGTTCCGGTGAAGCCGTGGCGACAGCCGCAGACAAACGACTGGCCGCTGTCATCATTAATGCACACGCCGTTCTTGCCGTACTCGGCACACGCATCTGGGGATAAGGCACATTGATCCATTTCTGCAGCACAGGGACAGATCAACCAAGACACACAGAGATACGGGGATTTGCTGACAGTTACAGCAGCAGTATAATAACAGCGATGCTCAATGAATTGTGTAAGTCGAGTGGTATGCGGCGGTTGCGGTGCAGCCGTTGACATACCGACACTATGTTATGAACTGGCGCAGGGCACAAACTTGTGAAACCCTATGCATGCACGCACGCACGAACACACGAACACACACACACACACACACACAAAAACACAAAACCGACACACATTTGCATGCATGTACACATACTATTTTGACAACAAACTCATCTAGTGCCATGCTACATTGAGCACTTACGCTCGCACAGAGTTCCAGCATAGTCCTTCGGACACAGGCACTTGAACATGTTGATTCCATCCTGGCAAGTTCCACCGTTGAGGCACTTCACATCAACACAGTCGTCAATGTCTGGAGTAGTCATCACACACACACATGCGCACGCACGCATGCATGCACACACACACACACGCACGCACGCACGCACGCACACACACACACACACACACGCGCGCACGGTTAGAAGACTACCGCAGTCTTGGACATGAACGAGAAACAACCACTTCGAAATACAGGTGGACTACTGTAGCAATCTGTAAGTAGAGGTAATGGTAGAAGAGGATCTCAGGATATTGTATGAGAACAGAGTTGTGTAGTGTGATCAGTAACGTATCTTGAACACAGCATGTAGAAAACACACAGGTAGCCAACGCAGGCAGGTAGCCAACTGAATTCCGACTCTGCAGGTGGGCAGGTCCATATCCCATTGGGGGGGGGGGGGGGGGAAGGGGGAGCAGGGGGTATCTGTGGAACCTGTTGTACCAAAGTACCAGGTGGGCAGGTCCATAGCCCATTGAGGGGGGGGGGGGGAGAGCAGGGGGGGGGGGGGGGGTATCTGTGGAACCTGTTGTACCAAAGTAAGCACATGAACATGATACTGCACTGGGCATCCCTATTGTCATCTTGCTACATCACTTAGCTTCAATAGTACAGTACCGTCGTCGGTTGAAGAAGAACTGCGCGGGGGGGGGGGGGGGGGGGCAGTTCTTATTTTCATGTATTACAGTCTAGACCTCTCTGATTGTCCACAAACACAGCCTACAGTCTATGCGCAGTTGAATCACTGTGTATACATTGCTATGCTGTGCCTAATGAAATTCTAGCCTGGTCGTTCTTCGGCGCTCCGTTCTTCGGCGCTCCGTTCTTCGGCGCTCAGTTCTTCGGCGCTCCGTTCTTCGGCGCTCCGTACTTCGGCGCTCCGTTCTTCGGCGCTCGACAGTATTGTACAGTATGTCGGGTGCTAAAGAACTGGGGGGGGGGGGGGGGGGGGTCAGCCTAGTAGCCTAGACCATTCTTATTTTCATGCATTACAGTCTATGCACCACGTATACATTGGCATGCTGCTATGCTTTGTGAAATTTTACGCTGTTCGATCTTCAGCAGCCGACAGTACAGCATAAGCTCAGTATGCATTGAGATCTGGACCAGACACACACACAGACCGGTCCCGCATGGCCACACAATCATTGCGTCAGCGTTACAAACACGTCGTTGACTTACCTGTTTCGCAAGCCGCTCCGCTGAAGCCTGCCTGACAGTGACAATCGCCAAACTGATCACACGCTCCGTATTCGTTACATTCCAGGCCGTTGTGATATGGACACTGTGTGCTGTTGGCGGCGTTGTCCAAATCAACACAGCGCTGATCCAGACATACCTATAATATATAGCATATACACATTATAGTGTTGAGAAAATGTTCCATTCTTGTCAGGAGTGGGAGAGAGAGAAACGAATCTAAGGCTGAAACATCGAGTTTGAGAAGGAAACACAGAGGGGAGGGAAAAAGAGCTGTGCAGACTCGCACTCCAATCCGTTGGCACTCCTACTGACACACACATATATAATAATATTATATACACGCACATATTATAACACACTTGTACTTGTTGATGACTGCCAAAACTGGTCACGTGGGTCTCCCCGGGAAAGGGGAGAGAGACTCAAAAGGAATCTTGGAAAGATGACTCAATTGGCTATTGAACCGCCCAACGGCCCACACCCCCTGAAATCCCCAAAACTCTGGGTGGACTTGAAAGTGATCCCACTTACGGGCTCACCACACCTCAGTAAGTGGGTGAGGACAAGGTGCAGAAAAAGGATTGACGGCATCAGGGTATCCGTCCAGGGATCCAACTGCAGTTACCCCTGCCCCCAGTGAAGGTAATACTTGCTACTAGTGTGGGTGGCCAAATCAGACACACACACACACACACTCACACACACTCACACACACACACACACACATACACACACACACACACACACACACACACACACACACACACACACACACCTCAGACCTCAGACCTACCCATCGCGGAAGCGATGATAGCGAACAGCTATGTTAGACATAGCAACTTGTGCTGGGATTACACCATTCAACAGTTTGCAAGGCTGATGAATTGACCGCCACTAATTTTAGCTTGGTATCCACCACACAGCTGATTGAAGTGGCTACACACACACACACACTCACTGACTCACACACACACACACACACACACACACACACACACACACACACACACACACACACACACACACACACACACACACACACACACGCTTGGACACACACACATATGCACACAACACACATGTGTCTGTGTGTGTTTTTCCTGCTGATATGGACACAACCTCGACAGGCCTTCCAGCAGCCTCTGGGGAATCCAGAAGTAAATGAATTACAAACGTCCACACCCATGCACATGCACACAAGTGCTGCACAGTTATCGCGAATTAGCAGTAGGGCTGAGTCGGGTAGCATTTTCTTTGGGTTTTGGGTAGTTTTCCATGGGTAGCACGGGTACCCGATCGGGTAATGTTTCCATGGTAACACTACAATGCACCCCTTCCCTTACACACTGGGTAGACATGTATGAATTTGTACGCGTGCACTGTACACGATGTCATCTGCTGACTTTGGGTTTTCGGGTGGACTATTTCTGTAGCCGTCTACCCGAGGTCCTCACGGGTAGCACGGGTACCCGACACGCCGTGCACACCACTAGCTAGTTTGCATACATATGCTGTGACTCACCATATCCTCACCACAGGACTGACCATCGTTCACAAGGGTGTAGGTGTCCTGCTGGTGTGTCAAGTAGAAGCTATTCTGCAGCACCATGGCACCTCTATCAACACACACGCACGCACACACGCACACGCAGGCACGCACGCACACACAACATTGGCAAACATCAGTTGTCTGAGGATTGCCTTAGCTTTGCAACGTGCATAAAACGCACAGCGTTACAGCAATGATCTAGCCGGTTGTCTCTGTTCTCTTCTGCCTTTGAGGTGTGGCTCCATCCTTGAGGCGTTAGGCACTCTAGGCAATCTGGGAGTTTTTGCTACTGTGAACATTTGCAAGTGTATGCAACAATATCGCTAAGTACTTCGACAGCAAGTGGTACCTCACGCATGGTGGTTACCCGACACTTGCAAAACGTTCGAAGCTGCTTGTGTTGCCCAGTAGCATGTATATGTACAGCCGGTTGAAACGCAAACATGTGTATTCCTGTTTTTAGACACACCAATCTATATGTCATAAAGCTACACACACACACGCACACACACAAAGCACGCACACACACACACACACACACACACACACACACACATACACACACATACACACTTGTACTTGTACTTGTACACATACACACACACACACACACACACACACACGGTATGTTATCAGAAAGCATCTTCAACAAATTATCATTGTTTTACTTTTTCGTTAGGGACCATCAAAGGTTTCCAATAATATTTTCAAAACGAAACGGTTTTGTTCTGGGGTCGGTGGGTTCGAAGGAGTTTCGTTTTGAAAATAATTATTGAATGCAAATGGAGAATGGCCAGTTACTCCTGAGTGTAGAAAATTGACATCAATATTTACTGGAATTCGTTTTACGTGCAGGAAAGGTGGATGGATGCGTGGGGGCTGAGAAATACTAAAACCTTTCGTTTAGTAAAAAACAATCGATGACCCCGGACGGCCCCGTAACTGTTGTGCCAGTGACGTCATGCTTTGTGATTGCGCGTACAAGCGGCTTCTCACACACATGGTTCGTTATCAGGCAGCATGACACTGGGCCCTGCAAGTGCAATGCTGAGCATACGCAGGGCAAGGACGGCAACGTACTTGCAAGAGAACACCTGGCGACTGTCGGTGCGGCCCACCTCGAAGCCCTGGGTTGAGACGGAGTATGGCAGCCGGGCAAACCGGCTGCCTCCTTCATTGCACCACAGCTTGCCACACAGGGCGTCTCTGCATGCGGCAACAGAAAACAAAGCAGCCAACGAGAAAAACACAGTGCCACACCATACAAAGCACCAGCCACCACGATGACATCATAGCATTACTTTCAGACAATCTTCACTTTTCTTTTTCCTTATTCTTATCTCTACTTTTCCACATCATCTCTGTAAAAAATATTTTTCCACTGGGGTCCATTCATGCTTGTGCCTGTTATGATTCCCACCACAAATAAAGTAATGAACAACGACAACGATCACAGCGACGATCATGACGACCACAACAACAAAAACAAATCCTCCAACACACGCTCTCACCTTTCCTGGCACCGGGCAAAGAGGTATCTGTATGTGTAAAAGTAGAATAAGATCGAGACGCCGCAATTGCCGAATGACGTGCCGTCCACGTTGCGTGCGTAGCACAGCTCAGAGCCGCTTCCAGCACCTGTGAAAGAACGGAGCAGAGTGCATACAATGCTCAGCGACCAACCCATGGCACAAAAAAGGTCGGGAATTTATTTTCCTCTTCCTCTTTCTCAGTATTCTCATCATTTGAAGAAACTTTGGGAATATGTCCAGTGAGATTGCAGATAGTTCCTGTGCACATGGTGATATAAAAAATCGGAGCTAAACATAGTTCCATGTACATGCAAAGTCAGATACCACTCAGTCTCTGTTGCGTTTTGTGCCATCTCCTAATATAGAAATATGATGCAATGTCCATGCAATCCTCAGCACTGGCCTGAATAAACACCAACCTGTACCTTAGGCTAGCGTGTGGGAATATCTTACCTTGTCCAAATAGAGTTTCACATTGGCTCTGTCGTGTCACGCACTTGCCTTCCCAGCACAGGTCCTGTAATGGTGTTCACAGCCATACATGCACATGCACACACACATACATACCCACGGACAAACACACACACACACACACACACACACTCACAGTTGCACAAACACACACACACACAAACACATGCACACATACAAACCCACATACATACAAACACACACACACACACACACACACACACATGCTTGTCTTTACTTTACTTGTTGCTCACTGCCAAAACTGGTCACGTGGGTCTCCCCGGGAAAGGGGAGAGAGACTCAAAAGGAATCTTGGAAAGATGGCTCAATTGGCTATTGAACCGCCCAACGGCCGACACCCCCTGAAATCCCCAAAACTCTGGGTGGACTTGAAAATGATCCCACTTATGGGCTCACCACACCTCAGTTAGTGGGTGAGGACCAGGTGCAGAAAGGGATTGACGGCATCAGGGTATCCGTCCCGGGATCCAACTGCAATTACCTCTGCCCCCAGTGAAGGTAATACTTGCTACTAGTGTGGGTGGCTAAATCAGAGTGAATCTGATATAAGCATCACTAGCACCATTGATTACACAAGAGTTAATCTAGCCAGAAGCAGTCCATGGTTAACAGGTATGTATACTTCAAATAGAAAGTATATGAACCCTGAAACCAACAAAGGTGGCAGATACAACAACACACCATCATGCAGCCGAGCCTGTTGGCAACAGACCCAACACAATCAGGCATAAGTGTACCCACCAACCGGACTAGCTGGCACACGCACGCACGCACGCACACACACACACACACACACACACACACACATGCACACACACACACACACACACACATTATACCCATGTCATGCATGCACACATACAAACACAGCGCAAACCCATGACACGCCAACGAGAGCTGCTAATTCACTGAAATGTTACTAAACACCAGTATGCTCGGCTGCAGAATTTTCAATGGCCAAATACTGCTGCCTTTCTTTACATACATGACTGCAGTGTACAGTAGAGAGTACGCACTGCACTCAGAGGTTTTTTTTGCCACGAAATACAGACATCTCCCATGTATTTCTAGGTTCATAGTGTCTCAAGTCGCGACAACTAGTTTTGGGTGGATTAGCAGTGTTAAAAGAGCGGCTCACAATCTGGGTAATATGGTAGATAGTATCACGTGATCAGCTAGTGCCTAGATAATGGCTTGTATCCGTAATGCAAATAATGTCGAGTTCGAAGTGCAGGTCATCGTGCTCTGTCGCAAGGGAGAGTAGACGCTTTTCCGGCATCAGTTTCTAGACTTACTAGTGGAGAGTTGGGGCATGAGAGTCCATTCCTCCGCCGCGAATCCGCACACTAATTTAGAACACAATCATGAACAGATGTAGAACAGACACATGGATGAGTCACTCTAGGCAAAACCCAGTGAAATGCCAAGCATTATCCGATTCGTTTCTACACAGTGCGCGGTTTGAAGCTGGTAAATTCGACGAGGCTTCTCGCACAATTGCTAGTCGCGATCAGTAGCAGATTAGGGATATGCCCAGCAGCAAACAAGACTTCATGCCCGGCGTTTTACAAGATGGTCAAAGCCGAGGCGGCAATGGTGCCTAAGAGAGCGAGCAAGTGTCATGCGTCAGCTACAAAGTAAAACCAGCAATGCATGGCAAAACATCATACAATGCTGGAAACTACTGTAACAATAACAAAGCCAATACAGTAGCAACTTATACAAACACATCTTCTGTGATTTGGCCAACGCATTTTTCTCGGATTACACCATATTGCCGTTAAAAAGTTAGAAACTGCATTTCGTCTGGACTTGATCCACACAGTATTAGAAGTTTGGTTCTAGGGGGATGACCCCCCCCCCCCCCCCCCAACACAGACTCTTCTCCCCCCACCCCCAACCTGCCTGTTTAATAAAGGCAAACAAAAAACAACAAACAACAACCCTCTCACTTTCTCTCTTTCTAATCCTGTCTCTCTCTCTCTCTCTCTCTCACTCACTCTCTCTCTCTCTCTCTCACTCTCTCTCTCTCTCTCTCTCTCTCTCTCTCTCTCTCTCTCTCTCTCTCTCTCTCTCTCTCTCTCTCTTCAGACATACACTACCTCTTACCTGTCCCGTCACTCCGTCACACGTATCTTCTATATCACATGTGTTGTTGATGGACGCTGCACGGCATACTGTATCCTTGGTCATCGGCTGTATGAACACCAACAAAGCTCACACCATGTTAGGAGCTGTTCATAATTATCGATCTTTCACACGAAAAGAAAATAAGTTTTCGTTTATGGGTGGATGTGTCAAGGAGAGTTTCGTTTTGAAAAATATTGATATGTGAGACATAAATGCATTCTAGCAGTCAAGTCAATCTGTTTTTCGTTCGGGGGGGGGGGGGTAGATGGGTGGGGGAGGGTCCTAACTAAACTTTTTTGTGTCGTGAAAATTATCGATAGTGCCGGATGGCCCCTTAAAATATCTTTTAAAAAATACGCTACCCAATGCTCGGTATTGTAGCATGCACTGCTCTGTGTTGTCTGAACACAATCATCCATTGTAGCATGCACTGCTCTGTGTTGTCTGAACACAATCATCCATTGTAGCATGCACTGCTCTGTGTTGTCTCAGTGAACACAATCATCCATTGTAGCATGCACTGCTCTGTGTTGTCTGAACACAATCATCCATTGTAGCATGCACTGCTCTGTGTTGTCTCAGTGAACACAATCATCCATTGTAGCATGTACTGCTCTGTGTTGTCTGAACACAATCATCCATTGTAGCATGCACTGCTCTGTGTTGTCTGAACACAATCATCCATTGTAGCATGCACTGCTCTGTGTTGTCTGAACACAATCATCCATTGTAGCATGCACTGCTCTGTGTTGTCTCAGTGAACACAATCATCCATTGTAGCATGTACTGCTCTGTGTTGTCTGAACACAATCATCCATTGTAGCATGCATTGCTCTGTGTTGTCTGAACACAATCATCCATTGTAGCATGCACTGCTCTGTGTTGTCTGAACACAATCATCCATTGTAGCATGCACTGCTCTGTGTTGTCTCAGTGAACACAATCATCCATTGTAGCATGCACTGCTCTGTGTTGTCTGAACACAATCATCCATTGTAGCATGCACTGCTCTGTGTTGTCTCAGTGAACACAATCATCCATTGTAGCATGTACTGCTCTGTGTTGTCTGAACACAATCATCCATTGTAGCATGCACTGCTCTGTGTTGTGTTATAGACTGCATTTACATGCCGTCGCTGCATGCTTCTCTCTCGCTGCTTCTTCGTACGACATTATCTCCATTCGCGCATGTCTACGGTATTCTCTCATCATGGCTGCTGGCCCTTACCTGGTTGCTCTGGGCATGCTCGGGCCATTCTCTTGTTTACCTTCGTAATGATAACTACCAACCATAATTACTCCTCGTGTTGCTTGTGACTGTCGTGTGCCACAAGCATGCAGTAACTAAGTGTAAGTAACAACAATTGGCGACGAAGATGGCTAGTAGTTTCAATCTCCACGAGGGTCAGTCCAATCGTCTACCTACGTTCGACTCGTCAGGTACTCCTGCGGAGGTTGGCCAACGCTGGAAGAAATGGTTCCGCAGCTTTGAATACATGGCGGAAGGAATGGGTATTTCTGACACTAAGCGTTTGAGATCTCTTTTACTACATTCCGCAGGCCCAACAATTCAAGATTTATTTGACGATCTCACCGATCCTGAAGAAACAAGTCCTCCGGCGGATGACGACGAGTTCAAGAAAGCGTCACGCATGCTGAGTCACCACTTCAAGGCCGAGCCGAACCCTATCTACGAGCGACACTTGTTTCGACAGCTCGCCCCCAAAGCCGGTGAGAGTATCAGTCAGTTTGTTGTACGTTTACGTCAACAAGCTAGATTTTGTGATTTTGGTGATGTCACCAATGATATGATCCGGGACCACGTGGTGGCAACTATGCGAAACGTGGAACTAAAAAAGAAATTACTTCAAGAATCGAAATTGACGTTGGCCACTTGCTTAGAGATTTGTGCAATTTTCGAGTCAACCCAACGTCAAGCATCAGCTATGGGTTCTGATTCTTCTGAACAAACATTGCCGTCGGTGAACGCCATCGCAAGTAAGGCCTCGTCTGCGTCTGGATCTCGTCCTGGCAGTTCTCCTCATTTTGTGAATCGTTCTAACCCTATGAATCGTTCTTCTGCCTCTTCTGTTTCTGGTGATCGAGCGTCGTCTGAGCGCTTGTGTTATAGGTGTAACCGACCTGATCATCTCGCAAACCACCCTCAATGTCCTGCTCGTGGCAAGAGATGTACCAAATGCAGGAAAGTTGGTCACCTCGCGTCATGCTGTACGTCCCGAGCAACTAACAACATCGACATCGACGTCGAACCTGAGGATACAAGTGAGTCTTTTGCGATTGGTGCCATTGGTGAGCAAGTACAGAAACACCCACCGATTACCATTGATGTGACCATTAACGATATTCCGTGCACGATGGAGGTAGATACTGGTGCTGAAGTTTCTATTTTCCCTGAATCTGTTTGGAAAGAGAAGTTTTCCCATATCTCTTTAGAACAGAGCTCTGCGTCTTTGCATGCTTATGGTGGACATCCTCTAGTCGTTAAGGGAGAGTGTACCGTTTCAGTCTGTCATGAGTCTCATTCGTTCAAAGATCGTATCATTGTTGTAGGGGGATCAAGCCAGCCCCTGTTCGGTCGTAACTGGATGTCACACATTGTAGTGGACTGGTTAGATTTCCGTACTGCTCAAGCCAACGCTCTCTCCCTTAACGATATTTTGGCTCAGTTTCCATCGGTATTCCAAGAGGGTTTGGGAACTATCAAGGGTCATACAGCAACTATTCATTTGCAAGGTTCCCCTGCCCCAAGGAGTTTCAGCGCAAGACCTGTGCCCTATGCATTGAAATCCAAGGTCGAGGCTGAATTGACGAGATTGCAGACTGAAGGGGTTATCAAACCTGTTGACCATGCAGACTGGGCTTCCCCTATTGTCACGGTGCGTAAGAAGAACAACTCTATCCGTCTATGTGCTGATTTCAAGGTTACAATTAACAAGCACATAGAACCTAACCAGCACCCGATTCCGAATCCTACCGACCTGTTGTCTGAATTGTCTGGGGGATCGGTCTTCTCAAAGCTAGATCTTAGTCAGGCTTATGCTCAGTTACCTTTGGATGAACAAAGCCAGTCTTACTGTGTTATCTCCACGCACAAGGGATTGTTTGCGTTTACTCGATTGCCTTTCGGTGTCAGTTCTGCTCCGTCTATTTTCCAGAAGACCATCGAACAGATCTTACGTGGTATTCCTGGTGTCGTCATCTACTTCGACGATATCTTGATTTCCGGCAAGTCACAACAAGAGCATGATGACCGTCTCCGTACCGTTCTACAGCGCTTTCAACAAGCAGGCCTTCGTTTGAGCCGCGAGAAATGCGCCGTCTCTCAGCAGCAGGTTAGTTACCTTGGCTTCACTGTTAGTCAGCAAGGCATACAACCCACGAACGATAAGGTTCTTGCAATCATGAATGCCCCTAGGCCAACTGATGTTTCTGCTCTACGTTCTTTCCTGGGCCTTGTTAACTTCTTCGGGAGGTTCATCCCCAACTGCTCCACACTGCTAAGCCCTCTCAATTCTCTCATGAAGAAAGATGCTCCATTTGTGTGGTCTGACGATTGTGAAACCGCGTTCTGCAAAGTCAAGCAGTTCCTTGCCACTACTCCGGTCATGGCTCACTACGACCCTACGCTCCCACTGGTGCTGGAGTGTGACGCGTCACCTACAGGTATCGGGGCTGCCCTCGTGCATATCATGCCTGACCAATCTATCCGTCCTATCGTGTATGTGTCACGAGCACTGTCACAAGCCGAGAATCACTACAGTCAAATAGAGCGCGAAGCTCTTGCGATTGTCTTTGCTGTTCGTCGCCTTCACCAGTATCTGTATGGCCGACGATTCATCCTTCGAACGGATCATAAGCCATTGGTCAAGATCTTCGGACCGCATGAATCCCTCAGCAAGACATCTGCGTCCCGTCTACAGCGCTGGGCCGTCATCTTGGCTGAATATGATTACACGATTGAACACTTGGCTGGCAAAGATAATGTTATTGCCGATTGTCTCTCTCGATTACCATTGCCTCTGTCTGCTTCTGAAGAACGTGCTGTTGTGCATGCAGTATCTAGCCATTCTTTTGATCCATGTGAGTTAATACCCATTCAAGCTGCAGATGTTGCAAAGGCAAGCAAGCTCGATGGTGAGATTTCCCTGGCTATGTCATATGCCCAACATGGATGGCCGTCTTCCGTCTCTGACAGGTTAGTCCCTTTCCAGAGAATCAGACAGGATTTATCAATTGAGCATGGCTGTTTGATGTGGGGTGCTCGTGTTATCATCCCTGTGCAATTTCGCCGTCAGCTACTGCAAGAACTGCATGTATCACACTCAGGTGTCTCCCGTATGAAAAGTGTAGCACGTGGCATCTTTTGGTGGCCTGGTTTGGATGAGGACATAGTCAAGCTAGCTTCTGATTGCGATATTTGTCAGCGCAATGCCCGCTTACCTGCTTCTGAACCGACTCATCATTGGGCATATCCCAATTCTGCTTTTGAGAGAATCCATTTGGATTATGCTGAATATAATTCTCTGTACTATCTTGTTCTTGTTGATGCATATTCTAAATGGATTGATGTTTTTGAGCTTGGTCACTCTGCACCAGCATCCAAGACCATTGATTGCCTTTTGCGATTCATCAGTGTATTTGGCATTCCTAGAGTTATCGTTACGGATAATGGTCCTCAATTTGTATCACACGAATTTGCTCAGTTCTGTCAAGAGAACGCTATTCAACATCACAGAACACCCCCTTATCACCCCGCCAGCAACGGCCAGTGCGAACGTATTGTGCAAGAGCTCAAGAAATGCCTTAAAACTCGGCCGTCCAATCGTTCTGTGTCTGTACAATTGTCTCGTTTTCTATTTTCTTACAGAAATACACCACACACTTGTACAAAACAATCCCCTTCTAACCTTTTGTTCAAGAAGGCTCCCACTACACGCTTATCCCTGCTGCAACCCAGCTTTGCCTCTGCCATGCAGCAACAGCATCCGCTCTCGACTGATGCCCGAAAGCAGTTTGACTCTACCCAGGCTGTATGGGTCCACAACGCCAGGCCGGGCAGTAAGCCCAAGTGGTTGGAAGGTACTGTTGAGAAGCGGCTAGGCCCGATTACCTATCTCGTGTCTGTGTGTGGTATGTTGCGCCAAGTTCATATTGATCACCTTCGCGCCCGTATGCCTACCTGCCTTGCTGAAACTAGCACACCCCCCACTGAAGATTCTGAATCTAGTACTTGTTTGCCCGCTCCTACTAATCCACCTGCGTCATGTTCTCTGTCTCCGTCTGCTGCTTCTGTGCCTGTTAGCCCGGTTGTACCTGCTCATGCTACACCCGAGGTGTCTCATGCATCTGCCGAAACTACGGCTGACATGCCTGCTGTGTTTTCCCCTGCAAGTCCAGACACCGTAGCTGACCATGTTGCGGTCCCTGCATTATCTGCTGAGCCTGCTATCACTTCTGCCTCCCGCTACCCTGTCAGAACTAGACGTGCTCCAGACCGATTGGATTTGTGAGTTGTTTGCCACTGCAGCGCTCACATTATTATTAATATTAGTTATTTTATTTTTCTCACATTATTATTATTAGTTATTATTATTTATTATTTATTTATTTATTTATTTATTTTTTCTTAAGGGGGAAGGATTGTTATAGACTGCATTTACATGCCGTCGCTGCATGCTTCTCTCTCGCTGCTTCTTCGTACGACATTATCTCCATTCGCGCATGTCTACGGTATTCTCTCATCATGGCTGCTGGCCCTTACCTGGTTGCTCTGGGCATGCTCGGGCCATTCTCTTGTTTACCTTCGTAATGATAACTACCAACCATAATTACTCCTCGTGTTGCTTGTGACTGTCGTGTGCCACAAGCATGCAGTAACTAAGTGTAAGTTACAACATGTTGTCTGAACACAATCATCCATTGTAGCATGCACTGCTCTGTGTTGTCTGAACACAATCATCCATTGTAGCATGCACTGCTCTGTGTTGTCTCAGTGAACACAATCATCCATTGTAGCATGTACTGCTCTGTGTTGTCTGAACACAATCATCCATTGTAGCATGCATTGCTCTGTGTTGTCTGAACACAATCATCCATTGTAGCATGCACTGCTCTGTGTTGTCTGAACACAATCATCCATTGTAGCATGCACTGCTCTGTGTTGTCTCAGTGAACACAATCATCCATTGTAGCATGCACTGCTCTGTGTTGTCTGAACACAATCATCCATTGTAGAATGCACTGCTCTGTGTTGTCTCAGTGAACACAATCATCCATTGTAGCATGTACTGCTCTGTGTTGTCTGAACACAATCATCCATTGTAGCATGCACTGCTCTGTGTTGTCTGAACACAATCATCCATTGTAGCATGCACTGCTCTGTGTTGTCTGAACACAATCATCCATTGTAGCATGCACTGCTCTGTGTTGTCTGAACACAATCATCCATTGTAGCATGCACTGCTCTGTGTTGTCTGAACACAATCATCCATTGTAGCATGCACTGCTCTGTGTTGTCTGAACACAATCATCCATTGTGAAAAACAACATGTAACAGATACCAGGTGCTACGTGGAGTTTGTCAACCCGAATCCTAAAAATATAAAAATAGAAGTCTTCATGAAAACATGATCGATGAAAAGTTGTTTCTGTTCTCTTCTGCCTTTGCAATTCAAATGTGTGTGTGTGTGTATGTATGTATGTGCGGGTCTGTGTGGTTGTAGGCACATGAGAGTTTGAACCCGCACCAGCAGTGCAGAACACATAAGAGATAGCATGCAGTAATGTGTATGATGATGGGGGGGGGGGATTGCGTGCAAAGATCTTGACTTACCATACAGCTTGCAAGGTTGCAGCATGCACCATGGGCACACTGAGCTGTACTGGTTAGCTTGCAGGTCATCTGATCGCAGCACGGGTTGTTGCACTCATCCACCTGGATATGGGATTAGAGAGAGAGAGAGCATCGTTCATCAAACAAACAAGCTCATACAGGCAGAAGAAATAAAAAACACACATGCACATGCACCGAACCACACATACATACCGTCCAGAGGGGTCACAGGGCAGCAGGGAGTGGTATGACCGGCGGGTGCCCCCCCCCCCGGGAAAAATTGGATATTTCAGGCCAACAGGGCACGTTCTAGCACTCCACAGGCAGCTCTGGGAGGACCATCCTGGAGGGAAAGCGGTACGACTACGGTCGTACTGGTTGTAGCGTGTGTGACGCCCCTGTATACTCACTAACATGTTGATTGGTTGACAGGAGGTTACAAAGCGGAGAACGCACAGTGTTGATAACAGTGCTCCTGACTACAATCATCCCCCTGACATTGCTGTCAACTGATCAACATGATCAACATGATTGTGACAAGGCTTACAACGGGCGCTTTCGATTACACGCATTTCGGTCAATTCTAGAATTAGTTATTGTTGATGCACAGTTCGACTACACAAAATGTGACAAATTTCGTCGTTAGAATTGATTTTATCCAATTCCGTCAAATCCGTCAATTCTGAACAGAGGGCGGAATTTCTCTAATTCTGGCGCCAGAATTTCACACTCGGTGTGTTACCGGTCTGGTCATGCATGACTCAAGTCAAGGAAGAGCCTTTCTGGTCGGTGCGACGCTAAAGCAGGGCTACAACTGTCATGTAGCTGCTACTTTTATCTTCCCGAAAAGCTAATTGCCGCTGTTGAGTTTCCGCTGGGAGCTGATTATTAGACCAGATCATTTTGGGTGGTCCTTTCGCACACGCGTTCAGCTTTATCGAAGCCCAATATTGTTGCCGACATGGAGCCTTCGCCGGGATGGACCGGTACGCAAAGCTGGGTCGACGCGCGCGCGAGGGTGTACGTGATATCTTTTTGCGACCAATTTTGTTTGTGATATGCCATGAATGAAATGCGTTGTGAATTCCAGTCGTTCGTTTACATGGCCGGAATTCGTACATTTTGGTCATTCGAGAATTACAAAACCCAGTTCCAGAATTGTGTAAATGTGTAATCGAAAGCGCCCATCATACACCCACTAATATGCATGCACAAATGCAAACACCACATTTCATGAACGACTGCGCATCACAAGAGACAGAGCTTTACTCCAACAATGACAACATTTCCCTCCAGTTTTAACCTGGTATAATTATGAGAACGTGAAGACTATGTTCATAGGGATATTCAAATGGCACTGCAGAAGTACAGTAAAACCTGTGACTAACAACCACCCCTTGGGGCCGGTGAAAGCGGTCTTTAGTGGCAGGTGGTCCTTACTTAGAGGTTTGCACCGCACAATCATATTTAAATGTGAGACCGTCCGTGCCTGGTAAAGTGGTCGGTAGTACCAGGCTGGTCACTAGTCACGGTGGTCTGTAGTACCAGGCTGGTCGCTAGTCACGGTGGTCTTTAGTTACAGGTTTTACTGTAGTACCAGGCTGGTCGCTAGTCACGGTGGTCTTTAGTTACAGGTTTTACTGTAGTACCAGGCTGGTCGCTAGACACGGTGGTCTTTAGTTACAGGTTTTACTGTAGTACCAGGCTGGTCGCTAGTCACGGTGGTCTTTAGTTACAGGTTTTACTGTAGTACCAGGCTGGTCGCTAGTCACGGTGGTCTTTAGTTACAGGTTTTACTGTAGTACCAGGCTGGTCGCTAGTCACGGTGGTCTTTAGTTACAGGTTTTACTGTAGTACCAGGCTGGTCGCTAGTCACGGTGGTCTTTAGTTACAGGTTTAACTGTATATGCACACTATCATTACATCTCTACTAATACTGTGTTCATATTTAAGGACTGTTTGACCAGGTCTATGTCCGTCACTCAGGGTGTGCTTGACTCGGTCGCAACTAACACCTTGCTAACAACGGTGAACTGTCGTATTGTTGACAATGTTGGGATAGCAGCGCAGCACAGCAAAAGCTTAGCCTTACCGCAGGATCACCGCAATCACAGTCCTCGCCGTCGTCGACAAACCCATTGCCACACTCTGCCTGGAGCTGCACAGCACGTACATGTAACAGCAAGCATTGTATTTCTGTGTATTACTGGAAAAGTAGAAATTCTCCGTGGAGCTTTATTTTCGGTAACTTTGGTGCTCACAATTTTACCTAAAATAAAACGCAACGAAAATTTCAGTACTAGTAGTGGTACACTTACCTGGAAAACGGATTTACCGAAAATTTCCCTACACCGAACCACAGATTTTGGGGAAAACCGAAAATATTACACCACCGGAATTTTCTGCTTTTACAGTAAGACGATAATAATAATAATAATACTCCTGTCCACTACAGGGGCGTCGGAAGGGGTTAGAAAGTGGTACGGCTCGACAGTCAGAGGGGGTCCGGGGGAAAGGTCCCCCGGGAAATTAAAAAAAAAAACTCAAAATACGCCTCTCAGAGGGTCTCCAAAGGTACAAAGTCATTTAAGGATAACAAAGAGACCGACAAGATCTACGAGTCATGACGCATACATGCCATGCAGTTCCGTAGTCGACAGTCTAGTCACGCGTTGCACGGTGCAGTGATCTGACTTTTTTTTCAACTTTACGAAGCCTCTTGTACGGGCAAAATTAATAAACCGATACAATCATGTCATGAAAATACAAAAGATGACCAAAATGATAAAGTAATATTGTTTGCGTTCCAGCTCTCCGCCTTCTCTACAGAAACACATGCCCATAATATCAAAAACGGGCAACGCCAGCTTCTGCAACAACAACCTCAGCAGTGACTGGTGCACCGGTGACGGATCGCGCCTCACGATCAAGCGTGATCACGTACAAACTCGATACCCCCATTTTTTTACACCGGATTTCGACGTTCCGCGTGGACCACCTGGAGCCAAAAGTGGTACGGCTCGAGCCGTACCAGTCGTACCGCTTCCGACGCCCTTGCACTAGAACCAAGCTTTACAATACTCTCTGGTGCCGAAGAACGGAGCACCAGAGAAAGAACAGTGTAGGATATCACCAAACACAGCATACAAATATATACATGGTGCCTCGACTGTGCATAGACTTTACTACTTGTACAATCATACCGCGGTTATCCGGGCCCCAAAGTTCCGGCACTTTGGTCTACCAGGCTCCCTTGGGGCGAGTTTCAGTGGAAAATGTACTACTCTTTTCGTCACTTTTTGTGGAAATAGTCACGCCGCATATCGTAAAAAATATTTATGGCTTTTCCCCATTAAAATGTATGTGTTGCTGAGTTATGGACATTTCAAAGTTACGGGCAGTGCCCCGTCCCGGACCGCCCGGATAAACGAGGTATTAGTTTACATGAAGATAAGAACTGCCTAGGCTACGAGGCTGACGTTCAGTCCTTGGTCACAATACAGGACTGTAAATGTCATGTGGAAGTTGCCAATGGACAACATATCTATTGTGATAAAATGCTCTAGATTGATTTAGCGATTCAACAGAATTATCGGTGTAACTTGTCAGAGTTGTAATCAGCATTCGCTACCACAGAACATTAAAACCATTTCAAGTTGATTCTAATAATTCTCACAAAGAGAGGCCCGCTCAATATTGATATTGTTCTTTTTTTTTAGATATGATCAGCATTAAGGGGGCAGACTGGTCGTAAAATCCTTGAAAAGTGGAATTTGTAAATTCATATCGAGTGCTACATCAGTTGAAAGAGCATGAGCAGCTGTAAAATCTCTGAAAAGTTTGTCTCGATCCGACCAGCCGTTCAAGAGTTATGGCCGAAAATGTGCCCTTGCAGGGAAAGATTTTTTTGTTGCACGCTCTCATTGCTTGGCAGCACTATATTTGAATGTGAGCAAACCGTGCGCAACTTGTCGTATCAGGGAAACATGCCAAAGTGTGCAGAATTTTGCTCCAAGTCCAAAACTCACGTTTTTTAGCCACGTATTGGGCTGCACGGCTTTTGCCAGCACCCTCGTGACGTTGCAGATATGTGGCTTGATTATTGTAGTTGACGTTGATTTAGTGACTTTGGCAAGTTTGAGTCGTGCCAAGAAGTCAGGAAGGATTCAGTACTAGGCAGTAGTGGAACATGAGTGGTAGTCTTTGCCGGTTTCTGAGGGTATCCTGGATTTGGTGTGCAGCGCTGTGGAAAAGGCTTGCTGTGGAGGTCCCAGCACTGGATGCTGTATCAAAGGTACGACCTCGTAGCACGTGCTGAACCTAAAAACAATCAAAAATTGACTTGGGTCTGTGGGAGTCTTTGAGAGAACGCCCACTCGTTCCGTTGTGACAGATTCCAGGGCCACGTCGAGGGGCCCTACCCCACCACCCATGGCTGCTTCTGGACTTGTTTTAGGTTTGGCGGATCCCGCGCACGGACAGACTGGGCACGAAAATGTGAAAAAATTGTAAATGCATTTTTTTGGCCCCTGGGTGGCTCGCACACCGTGGCACTATGCTGGAATTTTGAGTTTTTCCGGCCTGGAAAGCCTGTCAGTGACGCGCAAGAGCTTGTAAATCATTTCCAGAGGGCCAGCATGGTGGCAGGAGTGTGTGGTCAAAATTTCACTTAAATCCATTTACGACCAGGCTGCTGCCTTAAGAAGGTGCATCTGAATTCCCAGAGACTTACTGCTAAACACGAGTGCTGTGCAGAGGTTAAAATATCGAAGTCATCCAGGGCGCACTGGCTGAACAGAAGCAGCTGATTCGGACTGTGATAGACACAAGCAAACAGAACGCAAAAGTATAGACTTGTAATTGCAAATGATCTTTGTTATACGCATGGCACACACTGAGTATTTCCGGGGAGAGTGTGAGAGGGAGGTATGGAATTGCGAGGAATTGCAGTCAAGTTATAGAAAAGAAAAAGGAGAAAGGAACTACAAGTTCTGCTATAATATCCACTAACACCACAAGTTACTAAACGATCAGGTCATGCGATAACATTGCACGACACTGACCAACAGTACTGACGTTCTACAACTAACTGGCTAACAGCTCTAGCACATAATTATTACACAAAATTACAGTAAAGCCTGTGTGTGCCGGACCCTTTCCCAAGCGGAATCCAGTATTGACGGACACATTTCCATGCACCAAAGTGCTGTGGATCCTACGTGCATCCCTGGATCAAGCGGAATCCTGTATTGACCGAAACATTGTCATGCACCAAGGTGCTGTGGATCCAACATGCATCCCTATAATAAGGCAAATCCTGTCATATCAGGACAATTTCCATTTCGCCAAGCGTACCCGGTCAGGGCAGGTTTTACTGGAATCAAACACGACTAGGAATGCAACACGACTAGGAATGGTTTTCGGTCCAACCAACAGTATCCCCTCCCCCCCCCCCCCTCTCTCTCTGTCTCTCTCTCTGTCTCTCTCTCTCTGTCTCTCTCTCTGTCTCTCTCTCTGTCTCTCTCTCTCTGTCTCTCTCTGTCTGTCTCTTTCTCTGTCTCTCTCTCTGTCTCTCTCTCTGTCTCTCTCTCTGTCTCTCTCTCTCTGTCTCTCTCTCTCTGTCTCTCTCTGTCTCTCTCTCTGTCTCTCTCTCTGTCTCTCTCTCTGTCTCTCTCTCTGTCTCTATCTCTGTCTCTCTCTCTCTGTCTCTCTCTTTGTCTCTCTATCTGTCTCTCTCTCTGTCTCTCTCTCTGTCTCTCTCTCTCTCTCTGTCTCTCTCTCTGTCTCTCTCTCTGTCTCTCTCTCTGTGTCTCTGTCTCTGTCTCTGTCCCTGTCCCTGTCCCTGTCTCTCTGTCCCTCTGTCTCTCTGTCTCTCTGTCCCTCTGTCCCTCTGTCTCTCTGTCTCTCTGTCTCTCTGTCTCTCTGTCTCTCTGTCTCTCTGTCTCTCTCTCTCTCTCTCTCTCTCTCTCTCTCTCTCTCTCTCTCTCTCTCTCTCTCTCTCTCTCTCTCTCTCTCTCTCTCTCTCTCTCTCTCTCTCTCTCTCTCTCTCTCTCTCTCTCTCTCTCTCTCTCTCTCTCTCTCGTCTGAATCCCATACTTGACTTTCAAATGTAGCCTTGAAACTGTGCTGTCCTCATCTTAGGTGGCAACAGCAAGGTACAAACATGATAAAAGTATAGCAGAGCTCACTGACTTGTCAGTTTGTGCACTCTGGCAAGGTATGTTCGGGCCTGGTTTAAATCCGGCTTTGGAAAATTTATTTTTCATTGCTATCAGGTTCGGCCTCATTTTCTCTGTGCTGCGCGCTGATGAGTTCACAAAGAACGAAACAGCATGCTGTCCACAGATTGATAAAAGTATATGCAGATTTCCGCAGCGCATTTACATTCAGAGTACGATACAAAAAAAAACAATTACTGGCAAAGATATGTAAACTATATGCTGGACCTACTGGTGCGAAAGAAAAGATTGCACTAAAACACCTGCACTAGTCTTGTACTGTAAGGGTGGACTCGGATGGAGAGTCGAGGATTAATTTATAGCAAAGAAAAGGACCAAGGCACTACAAGTTACGCTATACTGTCTGTCCACTAACATCACCAGTTACTTGGCAATCAGCTCATGTGATGACAATGGTGTCAGTGGACATTATAGCGAAACTTGTAGTTCCTTGGTTCTTATCTTTGCTTGTACTGTACTCTATACTTGATTACGGGGAAACTGGTCCTTTTCTTTTCTATAAATTAATCCTTGGCTCTCCGTCCGAAAGAAAAAATTCTTTGTGTTTTCCAACACATGTTTTTCACTCACCTGACATGAGATGACATGATACATGGCTCATTACCCGGACAGTTATCGCAGGACCCTGCACAACAAGTGAAGTATGGAAGGACAGAAGGACAGAAGGACACACAGGCAGACAGTTTGCAAGCTCAGAATACGCCAATCCTTGAGTCATTAGTACCGTGCACAGGTGGACTGCAATTCCAATATTTTGGTCACCCTATTCTCAACCCAATATAGGGGGTCCAGGTGCAGACATGTTAGAAATCGGCACTTCAAGTGTGCCGCGGCGGTGGACATGCCAAACAAGGTTATAATTGAGACTCGAAATCCCAAGACGGGGCTTATAGCAATGTCGAGAAAAGTCACTTGGAAAGTTGAGCAAACTGTATTATAGGGGTGGAAATACAGTTATTCAAGCACCCATGACTCTGTTATCGGAGGGAATTTCACTGATGTTTTATTCACAGTGATCTACTCCATTACAGCAATGTTACAGTTCAGATAGCTCGAAAAAACAATGTTCAAATTTGATATACTAGTAAGCCCCCATTTTTGGATCTGGATTTGAACTTTGACTTTTTGTCCCACCGCTTTAGGAGCTGCATCTGCGCATTGATCCTTGAAGGGTGGTGGCATTCCTACGGATGCGGAAAACTCGGTTTCCAGCCGAGTCACACGCGAACCGTGAACTTTTTTCGTCTTGTTCCTCTAAACCACTGGCTACTGAAGTGTGTTGACCTAACTAGAACAGCATGCTATGCTAGATAATTTTAGCGCCATACTGAATACCCGTCGCACTCTACACGCAATGCTGCTGCAGTGGTGAGGTGGAATGTCACTCGCCAGAAGTAAGATTAGAAAAGCTTGAAGTAGAGAAAGGGAAAACGCAAATATGGACAATTTCTATAAACTCCGAGGCCCAGCCCAACAAGCTTTTACCCGCCAGGCTTTGTCAAACAAAAGGCATTCTAATTAGAGAGAACGGTTCTGAACGCTTCTTCTTCTGACATGTACATTTCACATTCCCATGTTTGGTACTATTGTAATAAAACATGGTTGTCGCACAGTCAGCACCCTTGATTGCCTTACTGAGGTTTTTGTCTGAGAAAAGCTTGTTAACATTACTATTTCCTACAATGACTATGGTCTTGGATCACACTCACGTCCGTTCTCGTGCAACATGTTCAGATTATGTCCGAGTTCATGTGCCATGACGATAGCAGTGTCGGCCACTTCGTCGGTGGTTCTTTGCTGTGGCGGTGCAAAGCAAGACATGTAAAACAAATTGTAAACGCACGGCACAGACACAAACACAGACATGCATGCACACACACACGTGTGTACACATGCACACGCACGCCCCGTGTGGAAACATTGCAGCAGTAATCACTTGGCTTAAGGCTATTGAGGACATGCCAACATACACATTCATAGCGTTAAACACCGTCAACTTTTATCTGTCCACTACGTAAGAGCTTCTACTGCTTGCTCTCGCATACGCCAACTTGTTTGTCCCAATATCTCAAAAGGACACAGACATGATATTGCACTGCCGAAAATCACTGCATGTTGTTGGCCAGCGGAAGAGCGAGGGTAAAGCAGGAGAAATATGGCGCTTTCGATGTCACAATGGGTTCGTATGACGGAGAAGTTGCCTGCAAATTCGTAGGAGCCTTCACACTCAGCAAGCTCTGCATGCTTTTAGGTGATGACTGTGTGGGACTGTATGGAGATGAGGTCTGGATATACCGATATAGAAAAGGACGTCACTGCCCCTGGAACTGATTGTCTCCACAAGGGGATGGTCGTACAGGTGTTCCAAGCATATGGCCTAAAGATCACGATAGACACTAGTACAAAGGTTCGAGAACCAAGGAGTACTTTACTATATGCTCCACTGGTCACCACCATGCGCTCTTAGCCGAACCAATACACAAAGCATGAACACACCAGCACGGCCAGGACACTGATGAGCTCGAAAGAGCGAAACAGCTAAAGAGCGAAACCGCTTTCCAGAGGCGTTAAAACTTGGAAACTGTCAACGGAAGTGTCCTTTGTGTGCTGTTGTGTTTATACTCCGTGCATTGGTTCGGCTAAGAGCGCATGGTAGTTACGGTAGTAAAGTGGTATATGGCGGAAACCTCTGGCACAATGTTTTTTATAGTGAACCAAGGAGTTCAAGAGGAAAAAAGGAAACTAATGCAGAGCCTGTCTATATCCATATATACACAAGAGAGAGTTTGGAAGCTTTGTCACAACTCCGAGTTTCACGTATCTCTACGATCATCAGGCAACTGATGGATCCAAAACGGTTAGCCAGAACATAAGGGGGAGCGAGGTGGGAAATTCCGAGGGGTGTCATAGGCGACGATCCATATATATGAATGCTTGCATGACATTCTCAGCAAGGAACTACTGTCGTGGACATGGAAATCCAGTCGCACGTCTAGCGTCCCCAGGGCGCTGGCCATGCAGCCATGGGTAAGCAGTACACACATGCATGACATTGCGCTGCAGCGCGCTGGTCGCATGGGATCAACATGACTGTACACTGCATGCAACGACACAGCGTTCTGTACGTTCTGTACCCTCTGTTCAGCTGAGGGCTCCGGCCCCGGTCAATCGACTGGATTTCCATATCCACAACAGTAAATGTACCAGTAACGGGATCTGTGATCACCTGTACAACCGATGCTCCTTCAGGCATGCAGATTTCCCCAATCGCAGCGATGCCAATTGTAGAACCGGAAAGGTCAATCCCACTGATTGAACAACATAAAAAGCAAGAACCAAATCAGCATCTGTATCATGAAATCAGTACTCTTTCCATCCAAACAATCTGATCTCTAACCAGATCAAGTAGGAATTACACCATAAGCTTGATTGTTATTTGGCCGGAAGTCAGTTTTGGACCATCACGTCGGTGTATTTATCGATGTCAAACCCAGCTGAAATATAGATGAAACCTGGTTGAAACTTTGACTTTGGTATGGTCCAATTTGGGTGGAATAAACTTCAAAACACAATTTACTAGCAATCTGTACATTTTCCCCAAAACAATTTTGAAACAGGTCGTCAATCTTTGGCCCATATACAGCTGAAGACAAGATGACCCTATCTCTATTTTTAGATAGTGTATTTCGGAACGAGTTGTTGGGGAAGCGTAGCCAGACCTCTGCTGATCACAGACGTTTGTGCTCAACCACCATTTACAAACACTCTGTCAAAGACATTAGAAGATAGATTTCGCCACTCTTGAAACAGCACACAGATTATTCCGGCAAAGGAAAAAAGGATGGTAAGCTTACGTCAAAAACTGAGCAGCATCGTATGAAACAGAGATATTCTGGCTGATGGAATCGATGTAATTGGTGAAGTCCCTCAGCAGGGCATTTGGATTGAAAGTGACGAAAAACGCATCCCTCTGGTTGAACAGGATCAGATTGACCATAACTACACGGAAGTTGATGGTGCGATAGGCCTGGACGTGAAAGCAAACCCAGCAAAAACAACAGGAGAAATCGTCAGTGCGTGTACTCGTCCTAAAGTGCTGCTCAACAGAAATCCAATCGAAGCGAGTGAGTGTGACGCCAAGCGCTGTGCAGCCCTAGACCTGCGAACAGTGGGATGTGAACTGGCCCAGGGCGCTGACTTGATTCACGCGGTCGGATTTCATTGAGCAGCACTGTAGCATACAGCAGACTTCATTGACACACCGTACAGCCTGTGTACTTGTCTTAGCAAACGCAGTACAGAAACCCAAGACCCGCAGACACACCATACAGCCTGTGTACTTGTCTTAGCAAACGCAATACAGAAACCCAAGACCCGCAGACACACCGTACAGCCTGTGTACTTGTCTTAGCAAACACAATACAGAAACCCAAGACCCGCGGAAGCGGTGTTTGATTGGTCCGGACATGCCACAGCTGTTCATACCTTGCGCATGACATGGCAGGTACACATTACCCCCTCAGTGACCCCCTCAGAAGGTAGTTAGTTGGCGGCCAAAGAGTGGGTCCGGCCAACTCCTGACCAACCGGACCGGTTCTGCCGCACCTGAAAATACACTGCCGTGCCTTACCTGATCCATGTCATGACAGAGATCATGAATGCACGGTATTATGCACGCACTTAATGTATATATATGGTGGACCAGCTTCTTATGGCTCTTCGCTGCGTTTTCCAAGCAGAGTCAACTATACATCCTCAGAACCCTCCACAAGCGGTCTCCGAGCCACCTTACTCATTGAACAGAAATGGCATCATGTAGCCCGGAGACCGCTTGTAGCCCACAGACCGCTTGTAGCCCGGAGACCGCTTGTAGCCCACAGACCGCTTGTAGAGTGCTGTCTGAGCATGTATGGTTAGAACGGATGGCTGCAGTGGAGTCTGCACATGTTGAGACATACACGGTTTAATCTGTAGTATGTCAGTGGAGCTGAAAGACACCCACACGACACGCAAAATGGCATTATCACACAGCATTGGCTTTCAAAGATACTGCGAGCTATACTTATGTCTGTCGTGCCAACTTTGCGCCATGGTCGCTAGTTTGGAATACTTGAAGCTCATAATTATAGCTGTACTGATGACGCCTAGATGGTTGAAACAGCTTGCCGTCTACAGCATTGGGCACGGAAACACGTTTAATGTTATTCGGATCAGTAGGGCGCGCCATGACGGCGAGTGAGTCAGTCTTACCAAGTCCATCTGGTTGATTGCGGCTTCGATGTAGGACACTGTCACTGCATCATTGCGATTGAACATGGCGTACTGGAAGCAGACAGAGATGAACAAGAAAAAAATTGAGTAAAATGTTCGATGAGGGGCTAATGAGGACGGCTGACAGTTGATCAACATCATTTTGAGCACTTACAAAAACACAGGGCCGCAAATGACACTTACGAATCGATTGTCTGCCACGATGAACATCTCCACCACTCTCTGACGGCCTTCTGTGAGGATTGTCTGGCGCTTCATCTACAAGTGTGGTAACACCGCATGACAAATCAAACAACAACACTTAGAATCACCTACAACTATCTACCTCCAGTCTTTTGTAAATCCCCTATTGTCCGCCTATATCTCGCCAGTCCTTTTGGATTTACCATGGTAGATCATATTCAAGCATGTCGTACATCTGCTAAGTCAGCCATTGCCTCTCTGTGCATCTCTCTGTATCAGCTAATTTGCTTTTCACCTCCCTTTTTTTTTTAAAGATAGATATTTATTTATTCTGGTTGTAGATCCGATTGATTGCGATCATTTTTCACATCTTGACCAAACAAGCGTGCATTGAGGTTTCTCTTACTCTTGCATGGGTATCGCCAAGCATAGAGGCGGCCATCTCGTCCAAGCTGCCCTGTCGCGACATCTCCGGTTGTCCATCAGCATGCTTGGCACCTGGGGTAGTAGTAGTAGTAGTAGTAGTAGTAGTATAGATAGCCACATACACTGCTGTCGGAATAGGGTGTACGGCGTGTGTGTGTCCATGTACTTCTACAACGTACAAACGTTGGCTTGGTGTTGTAGAAAACGTACAGCCAATGTATACACATTAAGAAGAGAGGACGATAAGTTTACAGGTTATCCGTTTTGTCCTACACTAAGAATTATATTATTATTAATCCTTGGCTCTGCATCCGAGGCCATTGTACACATTTATGAAGAGAAAAAAACATGTCCGCCGCAATCAATCTTAGAAAGTCAATTGCAAAAGATGAGTCACATTTTGAGATGAAAATCTAAATGTGTATCTACACAACTCACCGCATGTCCCTGGAGTTTTGGGCTTCATATCGCAGCCACGATACATGATGTGCTTTCCCCAGAGCTGAGCACAGCACATGGTGAAATGGAATGATTTTAGAGTTGAGTGCAGAGCATGGTAAAATGGAATGATTTTTAGAGTTGCTGTGGCGGAGAGGCACAGGTAAGCCAGCCAGCCCCAAACAAACCGTATGCCAGTATGCACGCACGCGGGCACACAGACACGCAAACCGACAGCATGCCCGCATAACTGCCCACCAGCCTGTCCCCGGGGAAAATTGCGATTCCGCGGCCGCGTTTTTTCCCGCTTTTTTTGCGATTTTTTAAAAGACCGCGATTTCCGCGATTTTCCCGCGTTTTTGGAACTTTTTTGTTGCACTACACGTACACACAGTGCACTGTTCGGTCAGCAACGTCTCATCGTGGCGGCTTTTTACTCAAATAATGACGAGTGCTTACACCAGAGACTTGTAACTGATTGATTTCACTACATACTCACTGAAAATTGCCGCACATCAATATTATTCACCGCATATTTACCGCAAATTCACCGCGAATTATGCCATATTATGCCGCGTTTTTCCCCGCGTTTTTTGCGATTTTTTTCCGCAATTTTCCCCGGGGACAGACCAGCACTTACCACCCCCCACCCCCCCCCCCCACCCCCCCCCCCTCCACACACACACACACACACTCGCCCACAAATTGATATCACCTCTACTCCAGGCGCACTACAGTCGTGGCCAAAGAAATCCAACCCACAAGTCCAAAGTAGCACCAGGTTTTCTAATAATATTCATGTTCCGATGACATATCACAGAACCGCACGGGCAGCATGAGCCTTGGCGCTGCTTTGTGTACGTGGGTTGAATTTCTTTGGCCACGGCTGTACCAATAACCTGCTGGGTATGGACCGCTGTGTATGGGCCGTTGTGTACGGACCGCTGTGTGTGGGCGATCAAAGGTTTATTCTCCTCCTTTTTCATTGCGGGTTTTTTCGAAACCGTGATTGTTCGACTTCGAAAAGCTAGTGGGACAACAGAAGCTTATCAGACTTATAATTATCATAATTATTTGTTCAGTACCTTCATCTGCATGGGCGCGATAGTGTACGTCTCGTTGCCATCCCAGAACTTCGCGCTGAGCAGTGGGCAAAGCAGGAAAGGGCCAGGCAAACATCGTGTGAGAATAGTACACACCGTTGATGATAATAATATGAATAGTAACAGTCGCTGGTGCATAATTATGATGTTCACTCACCAAAGAGCGACACCAAGTCAACATAATTTTTTTATAAAGACGTTGCTGCTTCGAACGTTGGATTTCGCCCTTCCTACTTCCTAGCGGCTGACAACTATTACTTGACTGACTCACAAGCGTCTGGATCACAAGCGTGTGCAACCTGTGACAGGATAAACCTTCAAGAAAGCTCCACTGCCGGTAGTCGCTCAAAGTATTTCGGGTAATTAAAATTAAAATTATTTACTCTTCATCAACTCCTCTACAATATTATACATAACCTGAGTGGGCTCCTGAAACTAACTTGGTGCTCTGAGTCTGATCCGAGAACTAGGCATACGGTTTCCGTGCTCTCCAGAGGCAAAAACCGCGCTCGGGATACCCGGTTTTTGTGCAGCTCCGCTTCAAGCGTGACGGACATGTACAGACAGTAGTAACACCTCGGATCGTGAGCGCCAGGCGTGCAGTGCAGTGTAAGTCAGGGTCACCAAGGTCACACATGGAGGTGTGCCGTGAGCAGGTGAGTGGACCCAGCCCCTACAACAAAGTACAAGTAGATAGGCTCTACTCCCTCGCGCCTAGGCCCCCGTGTAATATGCCGGCATTTTTTTGAGCATTTTCGGTAAAATCCGCGAACCCAGCACTTAGTCTTTGGGCTCTTGATGCAGCATTTTGGGGGAAACGGAGCACTTGGCCGTTGTGTATCAAAATTGAGAGAAGAAAAACTTCCCAAACAAGAACGTCACTTCCGCATTCCGTGGGTTAGCTTCTTGTTGAGTAGTTTATGAATTGTTTACCACGGCAGACTCGAGCAAGTCTCTTATTGAGTATTTTCTGATTCCCTGGTTTTGACGGCGTGTACTGAGGATTACAAAAAAGTGAGCATTTTCCGAGCATTTTCGGCAAGGTTTGGGAGCATTTTCGGCAAGGTTTACGAGAATTTCCCAAAAGCATTTTCGGCAAAGTTTCGGGCATATTACACCGGGGCCTACTCGCGCCTTGACTTGAGTTGATCGATCTGATCGGAACTAACGGAAGTGACAGCGTAGATGCACCCCAAACTGCCAAAAGCAGTGCTGCCAAACCGTCCGATTTTTCGGACAGTGTCCGATTTTTGAAGGCTCTTCCGAAAACCGGTCCGAAAAGGGAAACGTCCGAAAAGCAGCCAAAATGTCGGAGATCATTACTTCCCTATGCAGAAGTCCTGTACTTTCACTTTTCAGCGCAACTGAAGGCACAAATCACTGACTACATTTGCTTCTAAAAAGGCTATCGCTTGGCAGACAATGGCTGTGGAAGTGCAAAGTAACATGCCTGGATCAGGCTGGATGGCATGTACATGTACGCTGACAGTCTGTACGTACAGAGTCAGTGCGACCACACTCATCATTACAAAATTCAGGACAACTCCGGGGTCACCATGGCAACGAAGCGAATTTTCATGGTGTTTTAGGCGATATTTTGAATTCTCTGTAAAAAATGCCGAGGACAAAAATTCGCACCATGTGCCCAGCCTTGGCGGTGAAGGGTGTCCGATTTTGGGCGAAAATTATTTGGCAGCACTGCAAAAGCTTCTTGAGCGACCCTGACTCACGCTCCTGTAGCATGATAGGGAGGGCATCGTGTCGGGTGCTCATATTCATAAGGTGTTTTTCGCGCTGGAAACAGAGCGTCTCTGTAAGTGTAAGTCGTTGTCCGTGGGGGCACCGGTGCTGTCTTTGTTGGGGAGCACTACACTAGGCTACATCACTCATCAGTACAATGACTAGGACTGTCATGATGTAGCTCTCGTAGCTTTTGGATCGGAGCACTACAGTCTACACTTGTGACTAGCTCTCGGATCGGAGCACTACGCTAGCTCTCGGATCGGAGCACTACGCTAGCTCTCGGATCGGAGCACTACGCTAGCTCTCCGATATAGAGAAACCGAGATTTCACGGTTGGCGTGAGACTCGGTTTCTCTATAGAGGCCGAGTTTTCCTCATCCGTAGGAACGCCACACCCTTCAAGGATCAAGGCGCAGATGCAGCTCCTAAAGCGGTGGGAGGAGAGTAGATCAGCTCACCAGCATGTGGTCAAAGACCGAAAATCCCATTCACTGCATCCATGTTTTCCTCATGCCAGGCCACGAGCTCCTGTGGGTCGCAGCACGGCTGGAAAAAATCCATCCGCTTCCAAGCAGGACGTGAACCTGGTACCCTCTGTTTCTCAATCATGGTCTTACTCTTAGACCATCCCACTATGCCTGCCTACGCTTTTGCATAGCTAAGGGAATATATCAGATTTGGGTAGAAGTACAACCTGCACCAGGTACACCTCATAAACTTACATAAGTCCATGGCAAGTGCTCGCAACTACCCAGCTCTCCGGATGACCGTGACGTATTCGTCCATGATAGTGACAGTCTGCAGCAACTCGCTGGTAAGTGTTCAGCAAACAGACAAACACACATACCGACGCATGGCACATGTAAATACACACTCAACAGCTGCACGCGTTTACAGTGCATTTCCTGGGAGCTTCGTGGCCCAAAGGCCCATCAACAGTCAACGACATGCAACTCTGCTTGGGGCAAAAGTACCAGTAATACCGGCGGTACATGTAAATTGTTTAACCCTTTGAGCACGCATGACGTATTAATACGTCACGTACAGTGTCACTGCACCCACGCATGACGTATTATTACGTCGTGAGTGTACATAGCGTACAAACGCGATTTGCATGAACCGCGTGAGTTCAAACTATCGTAACTCGGTCAATTCTTGGCCGATTCTCACGATCGAAATATGTATCTGCAAGAGAAAACTCTCAGCTTGCGATAGAAACAATCGCCGAAGCGATACGACCCCGGGTTGTTGAGATATGCGACTCGACACGGCAAATTCAAATCGATTTTTTTGCGAACTCTGCAGAACGCGTATTTTCCATTTTCGATCATTTTTGCGCTATCTGCTGCCATGGAAACTAGATTCAAATGATGGCAGCGGATCTGGCGAGCCCTCAAAAAAATTTGAGCTCGATACGAGCAAGGAGAGTGAAATGGCAGCTGAGGATTTGATCTCCTGGCCGTGCTCAAGTCTGTCGAGCGCGTGCGTCAAGTTTGCCAGACTGTAGCATGGGCTTTTGGTGTCGCTCCGAGCTGAGCTTGGAACTATTTTGTTCCTCGTCTCAAGACCTTTGCAGGAAGCTCAAGATCGTGGAATTCGCACAAAGAAAGGTAAAGTTATCGATCCTTGAACAGCTACTACTTTCATAGGAAAAACGCGATTTTTGCAGGTGTTGACGTGGGGCGGCATTCAGGTAGCGTCGTTTAAACTACATGACTGTACAGTCAAACATGACAGTCAAACAGTGGACAGTGGGCAGAAAGGCTCTCTGGGTGTAGCTCAGAGTTTCATGCCCAACCCTGCAAGTTTTTTTTACTGGAACCGCCTCTTGTACGGGCAAAACTCAAAACAACCCCCAGCCCTGCAATCGTCAGACAACAGTTACATGATAATGGTGGGCATGCCAGATTTTTTTGTTTTGTTTGAAAATGGATTTTACATCGCAAACCCAACGGGCATTCATGATGCCCAATATTATGAGCTCTCTCGTTATGCTATTGGTGTGGGGTTGGGTGCGGGTTTTGTCAAGAGTTGCTAGTCATGTTAGGGTGCTACGAATGTCACAGCAGCTAGTGATATGGATATACAGGGGTTGCATATGGGGTCTAGGTGCTAAGTTGTAGGGCGTGTGTGGGACTGAAAGCAATGGGCTTTACGCTGCAACTCGTGCTCGTTTTATTACAAGTATGCGAACTTCACTCACCTTTTTGGGTACAAGGCCAACATCATCATCATAAGCACCCATGTTGTCAGCGACGTCGTCATCATCGCCCTGATGAAAGTAGGACTCCACCTTTGCACTTATCCTGCAGTACACGGCAAATGCATGCACAGTAGAACCAGCTTAGTATATTCTCATAACACATACAGAGTCCGTACTGTTGTTTACTGCGGAATTGTCCAGAGCACGGTTTTGGAGCAACTGTTTTTTCGATCCGTACCATTGTGACGTATGTTAGGATACCACGGATACTAAGTACATTTTCCTGGAGCGTACATACTATCAGAGAGCCGCTGTACATGCCTACGTTTTTCAAGGCCGTGAATAAGCGTAATCCGCAGATAGAGTTGTAAGATTCGTGTTCATACGTTCACATACACACACACACACATACAGACACACATGCGCGCGCGCACACACACACACACATACACACACACACATACACACACACACACACACACACACACACACACACACAGGCAGGTACTGTAGCTACATTCGATAGGGCTGAAAACACATTGTGCAGAGCTAGTAGTACCACACAGTGGGCAAAAGCAAACACGCTAATGAATGGAGCAAGTTGTTGTCTGGTGCATGATCACCGTTTGCCGTGAAATTCGGAGTATCCAAAATAACTACTGTAGTACTAATATTATAACCTGTTTCGTTTTGTCCACCTTGCCTGAAGTCGTGCATCCAAATTCCAACATGAAAACAATGCACACCCGTCCGCCTGCCGGATCCCCTTTGTCTACTCCTCCCCACCCTCCTGTGCCCTAAAGTGTCGCTGACGCTGAGACCTCAGGTCGTCGGAGATACTCAAGTTTCGCCAGCACAGCTGCAACTGCAGCCACCTCTACCATGCAGTATTCTGTTCTCGAGGTTTGTGATTTTATCTGTAAAAAACGAAGTCCGCCCATCCAAAACTGGACGCCAGACATGTTGGTGTCACGTGTGCATACTGCACTGGTAGATACTGTGAAAGCTACGTTACGTCAGTGCATATCCTGCATTGCATGACCTATGCAGTTCTTCGTTGCCACATCTGAGGCCGGAAGGGTCCAAGGATAGGAAGCTAGATATTCGGACTGGTTCAAGAACATTAAGAGAAGTACATGCATAGCATAGAAACATGCACGGAGATTGGAGAGTCCATGGAACATGTTTTCAAACACTTGTTCAGACGTTTATTATGTTGCCTGATGATGGATTGATTCAAGAAACAGGTCCAACATCCAGAAACTTCATTTAGATATTTGAAGTATTAATTTACGAAATTGTGTTTTGATCCCGAATTTGATCCAAATCCGTCCTCCAAGCGCTAGAGAGACTAATCAGGATTTTTCGACCGTAAGGTTATATTGAACTGTTCATGTTCACTCACGGGTTGTTCAGCAGGTCCAGAATCCATTCTTCACCGAATGCAGCTACTCGCAAGCTGAGTGTCCCCGTGTAACCGTCCTGAACAGTGCGAGAGAGGGTGTTTGTACGGGGGGGGGGGGGTTAAAAAGGAGTGAAGGTAGTGAAGAAAGGTGCATTTACATCATGCAAATTCAATTAAACAAAAGTATGAAAATAAGACACCCCTTTTAATTGCCAAGGCTCATGCCTGTGTAGAAGCATAAGTCCCCGATTCAGTATACTTCTACGTATGAACGAATCTGGGCGTTGAATAGTAACTGTTGGGGATGGAAACTGGAGCAGACACATACCGGTAAAGATATACACATAACACGCAAATAAGGTGTTGCCACGTACGTGCACGATGTCTCCCATTATCTGGAGTAACGAACCCCTACAGAGATCCACAGGAATTGCTGTGATTTGGTCATAATGACCATACATGGTTCAGCCGGACTTGAAACGCTGATTGCCATGCAACGAAGTCAGTGACTCCTCAAGTACAAGTACTCTACCCCAATCATGTACCGTACCCCACTCTCATACATAGCCACACTATGCATAGTAGAGGCAAATTGACATTTCGAATGGACCCTATATCTACCCACACTGTACATTACAAACAAAGCCGTAAACACGCAACAACAATACCGAAACGCACAGGTACACACCTGCACCCTCATGCATATCCACCTTCCCCATGTCCTTAGGAATTCCCACCCTAAACGTTGTCATCACAAAAGCTCCCTTTCCAACTCGCCTACCCATCGCTCCCTCCTGACGCCCATCCACACAATTATAATGCACATACAGATATACATAAACGTACGCACACGCACACACACACACACACATACACACGCACACATACACACATACACACACTTCCCAGTCTGCCCATCGGGGGGGGGGGGGGGGGGCAGATTCGGTACCTTACCCGAATATGATCATCTTGCAGTGTTATGGCTTCCACTGGTACAATGCTAGCTGATTCATGATGTGTTGCCATCTCTCTGGGATCTGCTCACACACATAACACAACCACACACACACACACACACACACACACACACATGATGATGATGACGGTCATATCAGCGACATATCCAACATGGTCACACAACACACACTTGGCATATCCATCTACGTTACAATTTGCTGGGGTCGGGTAGGGAGTGGCAAGGGCACCAACATTTCTCTATTCAAGAATCCTACCAGCAAATTGGAACATTTTCAATAAAGTGAACGAATATTTCCCATTGGTCCTGCAGTGCCATTCTGCATTACGATTGTGTTGATTGAGCACCCAACACGGCTCTTGAAGCTAGTGTAAATAGAACTACGGACTGCCTTCAGGTGATGTCAATTAGACTTGAAGTACGTGCGTTATCTTGCGTTAGTGAACATTGATTATCAAGACAGTTAAAAAAGTACCAACACAGGCATCCTCGCTTATCCACCCAGCATGCCCATCCCCGCTTATCCACGCAACAGCCAGCATGCCCATCCCCGCTTATCCACGCAACACCCAGCATGCCCATCCCCGCTTATCCACGCAACACCCAGCATGCCCATCCCCGCTTATCCACGCAACAGCCAGCATGCCCATCCCCGCTTATCCACGCAACAGCCAGCATGCCCATCCCCGCTTATCCACGCAACACCCAGCATGCCCATCCCCGCTTATCCACGCAACAGCCAGCATGCCCATCCCCGCTTATCCACGCAACAGCCAGCATGCCCATCCCCGCTTATCCACGCAACACCCAGCATGCCCATCCCCGCTTATCCACGCAACACCCAGCATGCCCATCCCCGCTTATCCACGCAACACCCAGCATGCCCATCCCCGCTTATCCACGCAACAGCCAGCATGCCCATCCCCGCTTATCCACGCAACAGCCAGCATGCCCATCCCCGCTTATCCACGCAACACCCAGCATGCCCATCCCCGCTTATCCACGCAACACCCAGCATGCCCATCCCCGCTTATCCACGCAACACCCAGCATGCCCATCCCCGCTTATCCACGCAACAGCCAGCATGCCCATCCCCGCTTATCCACGCAACACCCAGCATGCCCATCCCCGCTTATCCACGCAACACCCAGCATGCCCATCCCCGCTTATCCACGCAACACCCAGCATGCCCATCCCCGCTTATCCACGCAACACCCAGCATGCCCATCCCCGCTTATCCACGCAACACCCAGCATGCCCATCCCCGCTTATCCACGCAACAGCCAGCATGCCCATCCCCGCTTATCCACGCAACAGCCAGCATGCCCATCCCCGCTTATCCACGCAACAGCCAGCATGCCCATCCCCGCTTATCCACGCAACACCCAGCATGCCCATCCCCGCTTATCCACGCAACACCCAGCATGCCCATCCCCGCTTATCCACGCAACACCCAGCATGCCCATCCCCGCTTATCCACGCAACACCCAGCATGCCCATCCCCGCTTATCCACGCAACACCCAGCATGCCCATCCCCGCTTATCCACGCAACACCCAGCATGCCCATCCCCGCTTATCCACGCAACAGCCAGCATGCCCATCCCCGCTTATCCACGCAACACCCAGCATGCCCATCCCCGCTTATCCACGCAACAGCCAGCATGCCCATCCCCGCTTATCCACGCAACACCCAGCATGCCCATCCCCGCTTATCCACGCAACAGCCAGCATGCCCATCCCCGCTTATCCACGCAACACCCAGCATGCCCATCCCCGCTTATCCACGCAACACCCAGCATGCCCATCCCCGCTTATCCACGCAACACCCAGCATGCCCATCCCCGCTTATCCACGCAACACCCAGCATGCCCATCCCCGCTTATCCACGCAACACCCAGCATGCCCATCCCCGCTTATCCACGCAACAGCCAGCATGCCCATCCCCGCTTATCCACGCAACAGCCAGCATGCCCATCCCCGCTTATCCACGCAACACCCAGCATGCCCATCCCCGCTTATCCACGCAACACCCAGCATGCCCATCCCCGCTTATCCACGCAACACCCAGCATGCCCATCCCCGCTTATCCACGCAACACCCAGCATGCCCATCCCCGCTTATCCACGCAACACCCAGCATGCCCATCCCCGCTTATCCACGCAACACCCAGCATGCCCATCCCCGCTTATCCACGCAACACCCAGCATGCCCATCCCCGCTTATCCACGCAACACCCAGCATGCCCATCCCCGCTTATCCACGCAACACCCAGCATGCCCATCCCCGCTTATCCACGCAACACCCAGCATGCCCATCCCCGCTTATCCACGCAACACCCAGCATGCCCATCCCCGCTTATCCACGCAACACCCAGTATGCCCATCCCCGCTTATCCACGCAACACCCAGCATGCCCATCCCCGCTTATCCACGCAACACCCAGCATGCCCATCCCCGCTTATCCACGCAACACCCAGCATGCCCATCCCCGCTTATCCACGCAACACCCAGCATGCCGCGCAGTGCTATGTGAATAAACAAAGAGCAAATACATGCACTTCAAAAAATCCAGAAGTGCATGTATTTGCTCTTTGTTTATTCACATAGAGCATTCTGTGCGTGCATAACTGGATTCATTTTGCAGTATACTAGTATTACCGAAAGTACATAAAGGGGTTATGGACTCTTGGTATTACGCATGAAAAAAAAACCGTACTTATCCTTGATACTGAATTCTGGCTGGATTAGACGGTAGATAGGGGAGGGTGTGGGGTTGAAGTGTGTACATAAAGCAGTCGTTAGCCACAAACACATAATATGTACATGCATGATTATCTTTGGCCGAGATTACGTAGAAATGACGTCAATGCATCCTTATTAGGTACCATGATGTCTCTTCAGGCGATAGATAAGTCTGATGAGAAAATCAGACGTTTCTACAAACCTTCAAAAATTGGGTGTATTTTGGTTGCCGTGTTCCCGTTGTTCCCATATGGGAACATAGAATTTCAAGGCGTATAACTTCGGTATCAATGGCCACATTCCTACAGTATGTGACAGGCACAACCCCACATAATAAGTAAAAAGGAATGGTATTGGAAAAATGAGGATATGTGGTCATACAACTAGGTATTTACTTCCAACATAAATTGCTTCCGATATATGCTAGATTGGCTCAGGATTGAGAGTCCACTGCAAATAGGAGACTAATTCCAAACTCAATATTGTTCTGGGCTCATACACATGTATGACCAATGAATCATAAAAAAACAGGAAAGGATCTCTCTGACAACTTATTTGGCCACTAAAATCCATTTCCTAGATCTTGTTCCTATATGGGAACAATGGGAGGATAAAGGTTTTAAAAGATTACTGTTTATTGCGTTTATTTATTTATTTCTGCACCTCGTGGCATGTCAAGACAGCCAATAGAATTGAGGACAGGGTGAGACCAACCACGGAAGAAGAGAAAAAAGAAAAAGAAGAGCACGTACACAAAGTGGGAAGGGATTAGCAACTTACAAAGCAATGGGGTGCTCAGCGAGCTATGCAGCGGAAGTGGTGACTGTGATTTTGTTTACTGCACTGGGAGATGCTGAATTTGGAGGGTGCTACTCTCTTCAGACATTGAGTTTGGGCCGTAAATGTTAATGTCAGCAGGGGCCACAATGTAGCATAACACTGCAGCCTAGAGGGTTCTGACTAGGACATTGTGTAAAGGAGGCAGTTTTGACAATTATTATTTGTGCAGGCTAGATGGCATTTACGCTGGCACACACGTAGGAGCAACCGACGTCTCTTACAAATACCGCGGAAGTCGCAACCTCTGACTTTTAAAAATGTCCTTTATTTATTTATTACAATTGGTGTTGATCACGTGATGATCATCAGAATAGCTACATGACGTACACGTAGGTCATTGGATAATAACCGAGGAGCACGTAGCATGGGCGTTAGACCTTGGACACCGTCAATTGAACTAACCAGTCACGTGGGAAAGTGAGAGTTACTCAGCCATGGGCTACCACTACACGTATCATGTGGATGTGCATGTACAATGTACAATGTAGGTGCAGACGACTCGACTCTTTTATAACGACCCAGAACAGCTCGCTGAATCCAAGCATGATGTTCCTCACTCTCACATACATGTACATGTACATTCATGCATTGCTGCTTCTGAGATAGCATTTAAATTGATCCGATATTGGCTGTTGAAGCGTTATCAGTTGCCTGATGACTGCTTGAAACTAATACCATAATGTACCGCGAGATCACCCCCAACATCTCATCCTTTCCGTGGTTGTCTTGTGCATTTAATACATGTAGTTACAACGAAGATGCGGGGTTCTCGGTGTCTTGTGTGTTCTTGTAACAACCTAGAATATAACGAATGTCGTGCCATGGTGAACTATAAAACTTTCTTTTCCAAGGCCTTGCAGAAATCTATACAAAAACTGACCGTCTGAAGCGAGCTGTTCTCGTAATGAAAAGAACTACAACATGTGTGTTTACATGTATGTGTAAGGGGGGGGGGGGGGGATTTTGACCAAACGCAGGATGACACGTGGATTGATAATTATTATGAGTGCCTGGATTTTCTGAAATAATGAATGAACTACCCTGTACATTAGACAATTTTGTACTTCGAAGTAGTTACATGTATAATCTGCAGCTTCCTCACGAAAACCTTTTCACGTGACACAAGAGCACTTTCTCAAAATTTAATAGCAATGTGGATCATATCCTGAAAACACACTTGGACTGACGACTTCTGCATACAGTGTGTACCATATGCTATGACCGTTCTCATCTCGAATTTTGTCGATTTCCATTCTTGAATTTGACTTCTCAGTTTTACTTTGCAATTATTATCGTATTCACACTGTTGTCTCATTTTTTTTATTTCTATTTCTTCGGTCTCTCTCTGTCTCTGTACGTCTCTGTGTCTCTCTGTGTGTCTCTGTCTTTCTGTCTGTCTGTCTCTCTGCTATGGCGACTTGACCAGAAAAAATAAGCGAAAAGGCAACTTTGAGTTACCAGGAAATAACTGCAATTTGGCTGTGTTGCTACCTGCATATCACACATACACCAAAGGGTATCTGCAGCAGCTTCAGAGAGATCGATTTAAGATCCACTGGGAGATGACTTAACCGAGGGCTTTATTTTCTTGCCCACACTTGCCGATGTCTCGGAAGGCCAAGACAACGCAAAAAGTACAGTCGTTGTCGATTTGCTAGTCGTGCAGCGAACACCAAAAGAAAGTGCATCTTTAGAAGTTTTCCACACAATCCATGTACATGTATATATTATATACCCAATGCTGTAGACAGCAAGCTGTTTCGGCCATAAAGGCCTCATCAGTACAGCTACGAGCTAAATAGGCCGAGCTACCAGCCATGGTGCAAAGGAGGCACCACAGACATTAAGGTAGCTCGTCGCTCTAGTATATATAAGTGGCAGACCATTGATGGTTGACGTTGATTACTGCTATATATAGACATCTACTTTTCTTCGTTCCTTCGAGTTCTAGCAAGCGGTGTCTGGATTGCTCGAGCAGACCCAGTCGGCACTCTTGCCGGCGACCGGCTGCGAGAGATCTACCGAACAAAGCAGTACCGAAAGGTGTCCCATTTATCATAATGAGCGGCTGGGGATAGTTCAACTACTTCAGAAGTACAAAGACGGAAAGGATGTTCGCTCTCTCATTACCTTCGCCTTTCACCTTGCGCCATTGTCAGCGCCACGGTAAACCCTACGTGAAATCTCAGAATTATTATTATTATTATTATTATTACCGTTCGGGGCGTTCTTGGTTACATACCTTTGCCCATGTGGATAGTAAAATCCATGTCACTGTCATCATCACCACCACCACCACCACCACCACCACCACCATCAGCAGCAGCACCATCAGCATCAGCACCAGCAGCAGCACCACCAGCACCAGCACCAGCAGCACCAGCATCAGTGTCATACTGTATGTCACGTGTCTCCTCGTGCTCATCGCTGAACACGACGTTCTGCAGCACGTCCTCATCCATACCATGGCAGGGCAACAAGATAGAGTTGGTTGCTAAAGCCACCAACAGACCTGTGGCGAACATCCGCCGGAAACGAGACATCTTTCTATGTTCGTCCTGGGAGATTCTGAACAATGATCGCCACCTTCTCACCCTCCCGGATGTTGATTCGACTGGCCTACAGCGCTGTCATAAACGTGGAGACTTCCTGTAATCCATGCGCAGTGGGCAATGACTCAGAAACACCCAGAAGAGAGAGATCCGGATCCGGCGGAACTGTGCCAGACGCGGACTGTCGGTAGATGTCCGTTAGCAAATCTGCTAATAGGCGTTACCTGCACGCACGCATTGTTATCTACCGGTACTGCTCATGCCGGCATACTAGAAAATCATTATGTGCGCAAACACAGATGCATATGCCCTGTCTGATGTCGTGATCGCGTCGAAGTGAAACTCAGGCATCGCAATGCAGATTTGTCCCAGCTTCTCCCTTGTATGTATAACTATAAGACTCTGGACTGGGGTGCATCGGACCAACCGCTCGAGCTACCATAACTAGCTCTGAGAATGCACACTTCCAGGGAGCCAGACTCCAGGCCAGGACGATGGACATGGTCCTATGACGTCATGGCGATGAGTTTTGCATGCGCACGCTCCTAGTCCCCTAGATCCTGAACTGGCGAAGACGGTTGACTTGAAATGTTGTGATTTCAGGGTGCTTGAGGTGTGCCTGGAGTGGTGAGCCCCGATATCTTCCCAGTGTGTTCCCCAAAATATTATTGTGGCCGAACCAGTCATATTATGTACTGTACAATGTCATGTAGTTGTGATCCTGAAAGGGTCCTCACTGGTCCCTGCTGCAGTAGGACTTTCAGGCTAAGTGGTCTTCGTACTAGCGACCAAGTGGTGATGACCATGCAGTAACGCAATAGCGCTCGCGATTTCGGCGTAGATCTACTAGTAACGAGATCTAGATGCCATGTTTTGTCCCCTTTTGAAGTGAGTTTATTTATTGAATTCGGTGATAATAATTTATTTTTATTTATTTTATTCTGTGGGGCCTCCTTTGCACCATGGCTGGCCTGGTAGCTCGGCCTATTTAATTTTATTTAACTCGTAGCTGTACTGATGAGGCCTTTATGGCCGAAACAGCTTGCTGTCTACCATGGTCTACAGCATTGGGTATCACGCTCCTCGGCTTTCGCCTTGTTGAGCACTCTCAGTAGGCTGCTAGCTCTAGTGCAGCTGCATCGCGCAATGCCCGCTACTTTTTGGGGGCCTCCTTTGCACCATGGCTGGTAGCTCGGCCTATTTAGCTCGCAGCTGTACTGATGAGGCCTTTATGGCCGAAACAGCTTGCTGTCTACAGCATTGGGTATACCGCTCCTCGGCTTTCGCCTTGTTGAGCACTCTCAGTAGGCTGCTCTAGTGCTGCTGCATCGCGCAATGCCCGCTATTTTTTGTAGTTTGAGCACTCTGGCGCTAGAGGGACGAGCTATCTTAAAGGGGAAGTTAAGGCAAAAATTTCACCAGTTGTAGTCTTCGGGGTGCTGAGTCGAATGGTCTTGGTCCGAGGAAGCTGAGACGCTCCCTTCCTACTTGAATCCCAATCGAACTCGCGCACTTCCACCGAAACTGGGTGACTGCGCCCTACTAGATGGGGATTTGTATGCAAAATGTCACTAAAAGCGCCATTTCGTTCTTATAAAAGCACGGATGACCGCGATTGGCCCATATGTTGTAGTCTTTGGGACGCTGAGTCGACTGGTTTTGGTCCGAAAAGGCTGCGATGCAGCGTTCCTCCTTTATTCCCAATCGAACATGGTTGAAGAAGCGGTCACGTGGTCCTGGGTGTTGAAATCACCTGGTCACCACGCCAGCAGGTGACAACTTTCACACCAAGGACGGTTCAACTCGGGTTCAACTCGAGTGACAGGACTGCACCCAAAAAAGGTCAAACAGGCTAGTAAGTTGTACCCTGCAGGCACGGTGACCAGGTGACTGGTGTACGCAGGAGCACGTGACTGCTTCTTCAACCATGTTCGATTGGGAATAAAGGAGGAACGCCGTATCGCAGCCTTTTCGGACCAAAACCAGTCGACTCAGCGTCCAAAAGACTACAACACATGGGCCAATCGCGGTCATCCGTGCTTTTATAAGAACGAAATGGCGCTTTTAGTGACATTTTGCATACAAATCCCCATCTAGCAGGGCGCAGTCACCCAGTTTCGGTGGAAGTGCGCGAGTTCGATTGGGATTCAAGTAGGAAGGGAGCGTCTCAGCTTCCTCGGACCACGACCATTCGACTCAGCACCCCGAAGACTACAACTGGTGAAATTTTAATTTTTGCCTTAACTTCCCCTTTAAAGGGGAAGTATACCCTAAAATCAAATTTTCACCAGTTGTAGTCTTCGGGGTGCTGAGTCGAATGGTCTTGGTCCGAGGAAGCTGAGACGCTCCCTTCCTACTTGAATCCCAATCGAACTCGCGCACTTCCACCGAAACTGGGTGACTGCGCCCTACTAGATGGGGATTTGTATGCAAAATGTCACTAAAAGCGCCATTTCGTTCTTATAAAAGCACGGATGACCGCGATTGGCCCATATGTTGTAGTCTTTTGGACGCTGAGTCGACTGGTTTCGGTCCGAAAAGGCTGCGATGTAGCGTTCCTCCTTTATTCCCAATCGAACATGGTTGAACAAGCGGTCACGTGCTTCTGCGTACACCAGTCACCTGGTCACCGTGCCTGCAGGGTACAACTTACTAGCCTGTTTGACCTTTTTTGGGTGCACTCCTGTCACTCGAGTTGAATTCGAGTTGAACCTTGGTGTGAAATTTGTCGCCTGCTGGCGTGGTGACCAGGTGATTTGGGCACCCAGGAGCACGTGACCGCTTGTTCAACCATGTTCGATTGGGAATAAAGGAGGAACGCTGCATCGCAGCCTTTTCGGACCAAAACCAGTCGACTCAGCGTCCAAAAGAGTACAACATATGGGCCAATCGCGGTCATCCGTGCTTTTATAAGAACGAAATGGCGCTTTTAGTGACATTTTGCATACAAATCCCCATCTAGTAGGGCGCAGTCACCCAGTTTCGGTGGAAGTGCGCGAGTTCGATTGGGATTCAAGTAGGAAGGGAGCGTCGCAGCTTCCTCGGACCAAGACCATTCGACTCAGCACCCAGAAGACTACAACTGGTGAAAATTTGATTTTAGGGTATAGAGGTTTTTCGAAAAGTGGTCACGTGCCGGTCCCGCGTGCAGGCGATGCGCCGTTTTGCGAAAAGTCGACGTTTAGAGGTAGTTTTATTATCCCAAATGCCAAAGCGCGGGAAAATTCAAATGCAAACAGCTGCATTTTGGAGACGTATTTTTTATCGACAGTCGGGCAGTCAATGCCAATTTTCTCCAGAAGAAGAGTATTCAGAGGCATTGTTGTGCATTTTCCGTTGATACTATATGTGTGCCCTAGTGTTTACATGAGTGAGGGTGGTGGTTCTGCTAAACCGTTCGCATGGCGGGCGGGTTTGTAAGAAGAAAGGCTTCAGCCATTGACGAGCGACGAGAAACCTGTCATTTCGTGCCATTTGAGTTAGCAGTAGCACCGGACAATACTGACACATGTCTGCGGCAGCAAACATAGTGTACTCACGGATCAAAAACAGCCACAATGTGTGTCACTGCGGAAACAGGCTGTAGAGGTGCATTTGCAAAGCTGCTGATTTTCGTTGTCTTTCCATGCACAGGGTACGTATCATGCCCTTGGCATGGGCCAAAGCACGAAAGCTTTAGTTGGACACCACCCACAATCTCCACGTGGGTCCCAGTGTACCTGCTGCTGCCGATGAGAACCGCCCTGTAAGCGGTTTACCCAGCCATGTGTCCTCAATATGACTGAGAATACATCAGTAATATGCCATACACATTGGAAACCTGTAAAGTTCAATCCAATTCAGACCAGAATGACTGTATTGGTTGGAAATGCATTGCACCATTCCACTGAAACGTTAACACACAAGAACAGGAAAAGGATGTAACAGAAAACGAAAGAATGTAACACAAAAGATAATCCCAAACCGTCCAGCGGAAAAGAGAACGTGGGAAGAAAAGCACTGTGGCTGGTGTAGGAAGCAAATACTGCAAATACTAGGCTGTACGGGAAGTACCAAATTATGTGGTTGTCGAGCATCTCCTCAGAGTCGACAAAGGGATAACGGAATGAGAGAGACCGACTAATTTTCGTCAAAACTGTCACAAGCCAGCAGCTGGTGATTGTTGAGGAAGGTAGTTACACCACTGACCGACACCACTGCTGTGGGTAATGATTACGTGCAGCACCTGACAGCAATAAACCAGACAAAGCAGTACAATCCCATGCAGAAGATGAAATGCTTGACGGAGTATAATAAGTAGCAGACAAACTGTTACACAATGGAGCAACATTATTTGCTAAAATGGAATAAATATAGTATTACTTTGACGAATACCCGACACATAACATTCCCGCTACAAGCATTACCAACTCTACTGTCCCTGATGCAGGAGGGACTAGTGGCACACATTCCTACTGCATACCCCAAAATAAAGAAAGGTGGCATCATGCTCATGCGAGCCAGTTGGGTACCACCCAAGCTCTGCACCGGGCTCTGTCCAGGTGCCTACACACAACCCTGGAGGACGAATGCAACCCCAAAACACGATGTAGTAAAGGGCAAGTCCTTGGACACAGCTGTCAAAGTTATCCACCAAATTGACCTACAGCAGGCCAATGTACAGTGGAGGAGAGTACCGAGAAACTAAGAATAAAGGACTTATCGTCTGTTTGTCAGACTATCTGTTCCCGGGGAAAATCGCGATTCCGCGGCCGCGTATTTTTGCGATTTTTTAAAAGACCGCGTTTTCCGCGATTTTCCCGCGTTTTTTGAACTTTTTTGTTGCGCTACACGTACACACAGTGCACTGTTCGGTTGACCGTTGTGAGCCGTTGACGTCAAGTAGAGAGTCTACGTGTAGGGCGCGCGCTCCCTAGCATACACATGACCGGCTCCCCGGTAAAATTGCCGCATATCAATAATATTCACCGCATACTTACCGCAAATTCACCGCAAATTATGCCATATTTACCTGCAAGTTGCACCGCAAACTCTGGGATTTTTCCGCGATTTTCCCTGGGGACAGGACTATCCACCCCAAACTATGATCATGAGGGTGGACAATACTGGATGGTCACAATTCCACCTCGCTCTCGTTTTCTCCCCTGGAGTGAAGCTTCACACACATACCTGTAGTACCTGTGGTGTCTACAAGAAGTAGGAACAGTCCTTCACTTACTCCACTGCTTTCTATAAAAGCCTGTCTTATGCAGAAGCCTGTTCTGAACACAAGCCTGAGTTTCAAGATATGCAACTAGCACAATAATGTGGATTTTGCATCGGCAACCATAAAAAGTTTGGTTTGACTACAAACATAATGCAACATAATGTAAATAGAGGCCTAGCCACCACACCAGCTTCTACAGAAATACGCCAGGCCAGGCTTTCATACACGACATTACAGTAAGTCATCCAGTTCGCACTCACCCACTTCAGTTGGTGCTTGCAGACGTATTAGACGCATACAGCCAGTCAAGTACGCTTGCAGGGATCTTTTCTCAACGGGGAGTAACGGCTGGCCATAATACCTACAATACATACAGAATGACAATGGTGAACATAGCAAAAGGGAAGGGCATTCAAGACCTGCAGCTCCATGTATACATGCCGAGTGTGAGCGTGGTGTCTGTGGACAAAATCGACAAAGAGGTACCCTGGCAACAAATGTAGTGCCAGGATGCCAGCAGAAGGCTACGTGGCACACCAGTCCAACATGTAAATCAACTACCATCCACTGGTCACACTAGCCCAATTGATGCAAGTACCACAGTTGAAGTTCCATGGCCATTTGCCTGCCACATGCCAATCACAACAAGCACTGAGGAAGAAACTGAGACGAAGCGACGTCAAAGCTAAACACTAACACAGACAGGCGGGTTCCACACACAGTGAAACTTCAGTATGGAGTAGTACCAAGAGTCCATGGATGGCGGTGCCGTAAAACTTACAAGTGGAATTGAGCTACACTGGAATAATTGTTGTCTCTGATTATCGCTTAATTTAAGCAACAAAATCTACTATCAACTACCCACCTCTTCAAGGTAGGGATTGTGAAGAACCAATGACCTAGTCATGGTGTGGGGCTCTGACAAACATCTTGCAGCAGTCAGACAGCCTGTCACAGGCCTGACAAAAGGCTGTGGATGCAAGACCGCTGCAGGATCATACAATGCGAGTGCAAAAGGCAAATCTGTTATGCAGGCCAGGGCTAAAATGCCACACTTTCTGTTCAACAACACCTCCGCGAGGGAAGAATGCGACAGTTCCAGTAAGCAAAAGGTTGTTTCATTTGAGGAGACTGAAAAGCAAGAAACCAGCAACGAATTGGACCAAGATTGAGTCAATGTGCACACAGGTGATGCGTGCGTGTTATCCTTTACTGGAATTATGGCATATATGCTAGAAACATGGAATGCACTACGAATTCTGACCTGAAATACACAAATATACACATCTGCCTGAGTTTCAATGAGCATGGATAGACGTGGAACACAATACTTCCACTGGAAATGGTGATATACCGGGAACACAATCCATCTGCTGCTATATGGGCGAGAAACTATTGTAACCTGGGATATTTTGAAACTTAGGTGTGATGAAATGTCACTTTCGTGGATTTTACACGTATCACAAAAATATTCTTTCATTTCGTGCCATTTGAGTTAGCAGTAGGTCTGGACATAGACATGACCAAATCTTTACACAGGTTGGTTGGGACTATCTTTCTGCTATCTCGGATATTGTGTAAGATTTGATGGAGTCCATTACTGGCTGAATACCAAAGAAGGGAGGAAATTTCTACGACTGTACTGTAAGAAAACGACGACACGAAACTTCCCAATGGCTCAATAGCTGGCCCCAAAAATATTACGGATTACTTTAGTACTTACTCAAGTCACATCGAAATCCTTATCGGCGGGCTCCAGGCTGTGGAACGCCTCCAGTGGGTCTGAATGTTCGACAACGTCAGCCATTACTTCTTCACGGAATCGTCATCTTCACCTCTGTACAAAATGAGCTGACCGGGATAATAAAAAAGGGCTTTTTTTCGCTCTGGCGCATCGACTGCGTGGGCTCAGGTGACCTTGAGTGGCAAAAAGACCGTGACCTGGTGACAGCTGCACTTTTTGGTTTGAGTTTGCACTATTCCAGTATTTCTTTGCTGATTTGACGATCAGATTCGTGCTTGTTTGTGCGTTCTTGAGAGGGTACCTGCTTGTTATGACTGCTGAAATGGAGCCTAGAGAATTTGGAAAAATCTACGGTGAGCTGGACGAAGTAGCCAAGAAGCGGTATCGCGAGAAGCTTGACCGAATTGTTTCAAATGTGTCCGATCCGTACGTCCTCTCCAAAAATTCTGCCGTGGAGTTTTTCCCGAGTATCGAGTGGCCTGATGTTTATAACTATCTTGTAAATACTCCTAGTCCGTACACCAAAGAGTCCTTGAAAGCCTACAAAAGTCTGGATGCTTATAATTTCGTAAAATCTGGCTGGGTTGGAGACGTCCTGTCGTTTCCTGCAAATGCTGACAGCACGAAATTTTTCGTGACAGCTTCGGTCAGGCATTCGCAGACTGTGTCTGCAGATAATCTGAGGCCTTGGGTAGCCGCGGAGAAGGACGGAATCGTGATTTGTGCGCATTGTAATTGCATGGCTGGCCTGGGCGAAGCGTGCTCGCACATCGCAGCTTTGCTCATGAGCTTGTCTGTCCGTACGTCCATGGCAGTAGAGCCTGCATGTACCTCCCTGCCTTGTCAGTGGATTGCCCCAAGCATGAAAACTGTGGAGTATGCTAGGGTCATTGACATTGATCTTGCTGTGCCCGACCCAAGGAAGGATAAGAATAAACAACCAAGAGCTACCAGCAGTTCCGCCAAGAGCAAGCCTGCTCCGTTTGACAATCCCACAGCTGAGGAAGTTGATGCCCTATGTGCCTCTCTGGATTCCGCCGGCTCTTGTGCGGTGCTGAGCACTATGCCTGCCTTCTCTGACCGGTACGCTCCAAAGGATCAGGACGGCTGCCCACCATACCTGGTAGACGAGCTCTACAATGACGCACTGTTGACAGCCAACTTTGCCGATGTGCTGCAGCACTGTGAAAAAGTGTTCAGCGCAATAACTGTGACTGCGGAGGAGGCAAAGGCTGTGGAGAGGCTCACAAAGGACCAGGCTACCTCCAAGCAGTGGTTTCGCTACCGTGCTGGCAGGGTAACAGCATCCCGCTTCAAAGCTGCTACGCGCACCAATCCCAGCAATCCATCCGTGTCGCTCATCAAAGCCATTTGTTATCCGGAGGCGCAAGCGTTCACAACTTCAGCCACTAAATGGGGCTGTGAGCATGAGGCCAGTGCGCGTGAGCTGTATGTAAGGAAGCAGGGGGCTGTTCACAAGGAGCTGTCTGTGACTGAGTGCGGTCTTTGCCTGTCTCCTGACTTCCCGTATCTTGGGGCAAGCCCAGATGGCTTTGTCAGTTGTGCATGCTGTGGGGCCGGTGTGCTTGAGATCAAGTGTCCCTATTCATGCCGGGACAAGGCATTCGCTGATGCTGCTGACGAGAGCAAATTCTGCTTGGAGAAGGACCCGTCTTCCTCCGGGTTGCTGCCACAGCTTCGCCTAAAGCACGACCATGCCTACTACTATCAGGTCCAGCTCCAGCTGAAGGTCTGCGCTGCCAGACACTGTGACTTCATAGTCTGGAACAAGGAAGAGCTGCACGTGGAGCGCATACTTCCTGATGCGCCGTTTATGGCTAAAGCCTTGGAGGCAGTTGTAGATTTCTACAAACTTGGAGTTCTACCGGAACTAGCCGCTAAATGGTATTCAAAGAACTTTGATAGCTTACCTGACGGACCACCAGCAGCAGCGGGCGCATCAGCCACAGTGGGTCTGCCACAGACTACATTGTCATCGCCGGGTGGTTGTTACTGTGACGGGAAAGAGGCCGGTGATGTAGCGAAGTGTGCTAATACTGATTGCACTCGCCGTTTCTTCCATGTGAAGTGCCTAGGCCTCAAGAAGAAGCCCGGTAAGAGCTGGCATTGTCCTGAATGCCGCAAGGCAGCTCGCCAGAAGAAGTCGAAAGCTTGAGGAGTGGTCCTGTTAGAATTATGTGCATGCATCCTGAAGATTGTGTTGGTGCTTCTCTCTGCTCAAGTAACTGTATCTGGCTGGACTTGTCCCCTTGTCTGTATTGTGTACGCATCACTTTGTCTGCACTGGTGTCGCGACAGTCGATTGCTTTGATTCATGCTGGCTGGCTCTTTATGATAATAGTTCCGGTGTACCAGCGCTGCAGCTAGCGTAGGCTGTGTGTGCAGCCATATGCACTTGCCTTTCACTTTTGTAAGCTCCTTCACTGCGTGTGAAAGGATGAGATTTGTTTTGTAGTTCGTGGAGTGAGTTAGCCTTTTCTCCCATGCAAGTAGCTTGGCGTGTTCTCGCTCCTTTTCCTTTGCTATAATGTATTTTGAAACTCGGGTATTGAGCCAATAATAAAAGTAGAAAGGAAAAGGACATACAGTGGTGGAGAGTTACTCTTAACTCGTTTCCATATGTCCTTTTCCTTTCTACTTTTATAATGTATTTGTAATGTATTTCAGTTTGCTGATAACAAGATGAGTTTACAGTCTTCTCTCGAGTGGTAATTATTAACAGGTCCTACCTTTCAGGAATACTGATACTGAGGTATTGTGCAGCATTCACTGGTCATGCCTGTTCTTCATTTCACAGTCTGCCGTATGGTATGTACGTTGCTCAAGTCTACCCCTGACGATGCCGTCATCCTGCAACTTGTACAGTTACATTGTATACGCATGACGTCGCTGGATATCTTGTGTATGGAGTATGGCATAAACTAGTTTTCTAATTTTGAGGTATTCAAATCGTATGTCAGTAGCGATTACACTGTTGTACCTCATCAATCACATTCTGTATAATTATTGTGTGAACCAGTGTCTTCTTTTAAACCAAGATCCTCTCCATAGTGAAAGCCATTGGACCACCACTCAGACTTTGTTGTGCCTGTGAAAGGCAATTGCGGCAACAAGAGAGATACACTAAACTCCCAATTTGGCTGAGTTTGACTCCTGGGAAAGGGAATGGAACCCCAGCATTGAAGTGGATTTACACCCAAAGCTCATCCACAACCGAACAAGTTCAACTTGTCTGGGTGCCGATAGTGTTAGTTTATATGCAAATATTGAAGTTCACATTGCCGAACACAAAGACAGTTTCATTAATCATGGTGTACAGCTATTTTCCATTTGATGCTATTAAAAAAATAAAACAATACATTCACAGTTCAGCGCATAGCCGGCCAGTTCAGGCATCCAATGGACATTGAAACAGGGTGCCACCAGACATAGGCAAAATAACTGACACTCGTTGATATGGCAAGCAGAGCTGACATTGCAGGACCATGGTGGCATGATGAGTTTCATGACCAAGATAATAACGGCAACGTGTATAATGAGCAGAGTACCACAATGCATAAACCCGTTGCAGCAAATCACAATCATCTACAAACTACTATCACAGTGCTCAGTTGAGCGGCACAACAGATTTGCAGCAATTGCACAAAGCACAGCACACACTAACAATACGATCAATCATGGACTCCTTCTCATCCGTATCATGCTTCAATAGGGTGATAGGCAGGGTTGACTGCAAGATGGTATACTTCTGCCGAAGCAGGCCGATCACCCTCTCAACGTGGATACGCACATTCGCGATTTGGCGTGACTGCTCGAGCTCCTGCCTTCTCAGCTGCTTCTTCCCCCTGGTGAAGGAAGGGATGACTAGTTTGGCACAGTACATGCCAACGCTGTCTTCGATAGTAAATCCACGATCCGCCATGACTTGATCTCCCGGATTGAGGAGCTTCAATAGGCCACAGTTCTCCGTCAAATGCTTGTCAGGTGTTCGTCCGCCCCAAGCCTTGGAGATGAAGGATATGGAGCCTTGGGGTGTGACAGCAACCAAAAACTTGACAGTGTTGTGGGATTTGTAATGTGAAAAGGTGAGAGCTCTAGCCATAAGATTACGTGGCCTCTCCATAAATACCTCGAAACAGTCGATTATGCAGACGCAGCGACCGAACTGTCCGCGGAAGCTCCTCGGCATGGTCTTCTCCAGGTCACCATGGTTTGGCCAGCGGATAAGTGGGCGTAGCCGGACGAACATCACTTGAATCCACTTCTCAAATATCTTTGTGACAGTGGCCGGACTGATGCCAAAGCGGTAAGCCAAGTCCTGATGCGCGAGGTTCAGTCTAAGTTTCATGAGCACGAGGATGAATTGTTGGAAGAGGGACAACTTGCTATGACCATGGGCAGAGAGAGGCTTTGACACATAAGAGAAGACAGTTGACAGGATTTTCACATCAGGCAGGCCAGTGTAGTAATGGACTTTGGCAGGGTCATTTTTGAAATTATCTTCAGTGTACCCATAAGACGGCTGCTTCAGCTTCAAGGTGGCGTTCTCCAGCTCCAACTCCGTCACTCGGGCCTGCAGTTTCGCTACTGATGCCTTCAACTGCTCCTTTTCACTCTCCAAATCGTGAAGCTTGCCCATGGTGAGATCTGTTTGGCAAGATTTTGAAGTGGACGCGGATTCAGCAGGATCAGGAGTAGGAGTTGCTGCAGTCGATTCCACAGCCTTTGTAGCGCTTTGATCAGCAAACAAACGAGTCCGCTTTGCACGCCGGTGGTAAGCCTCCAACTCCTCCTGCATTTTCCTCTTGACTGGGGACCGTACAAACGTAAACACACGTGGCACATAGTCTGGTGACAAAGGCTCATCACTCTTCGCCCCGCCGATAAAATGCGCTCCACATAACCAGCTGTGCTTTCCTGGTGTCCAGTTCTCCCTTCGCAGAGCAGTTATCCACTTTTCCCTGCGCTCAGGTTCACTTTCTTCAGTGGGCAATCTTGTCCAACCTTTGTCGCCCTTTTTGAATCGTCTCGTACAGCCAACAGCCGAGCAGCTCTTCCCCATTTCGACCTTGATCAATATCGGTTACACAAACAAAGCGCTAAAGATAAACCTGAAGATCAAGCGTAAAGCGAAAATGGCCAGTGTGGACTGAGTGGATAGCAAAGAAAGACGACAAGCCGTCAACAAAATAAATAAAATTGTATTTGGCGTTCAATCTCGATCTCACTCGATCTCATCTTTTGCCACTCAACACGCCAGCAGCTGCGCCGCGTGGGGGCGTGTGACGTCATTCGAAAAACCTCTATACTTCCCCTTTAATGTCTGTGGGGCCTCCTTTGCACCATGGCTGGTAGCTCGGCCTATTTGGCTCGTAGCTGTACTGATGAGGCCTTTATGGCCGAAACAGCTTGCTGTCTACAGCATTTGGTATCACGCTCCTCGGCTTTCGCCTTGTTGAGCACTCTCAGTAGGCTGCTCTAGTGCTGCTGCATCGCGCCATGCCCGCTACTTTTTGTAGTTTGAGCACTCTGTCGCTAGAGCGACGAGCTATCCTAATGAGTAATGTCTGTGGGGCCTCCTTTCAACCTTTGCACCATGGCTGGTAGCTCGGCCTATCACTACAGGTGTGAAACGACGTTAGTAGCGTCCTCTTTCAAGGTGCGTGCAAGTGCACTCGCATCCACACTCGCAAGAACAGCCAGCGTGAAACGTGACTTTTGAGTGCCAGGTCTTGAAATTACCCCAAGCTCTGCAAGCAGCTTCCAAATCTATGTCGGCATCGCCGGAGTCTTCGCTCTGGAGCACCAGAGCCGGTGGCGGTGTGGCGGCGATATTTCTTGTACTGCTCCCTGGCGTTGGTACGTAGGTTGTCCAGCTTGTTGTGAACAATCGGCACTGTGATCTCATTCTGAAATTTATCGCCATACAGCTCGCGGCCGAAAAAATTCAACTTCACGGCAATCTCCTTCACCGACCGCTTTTTCATCGTCCCATTGCTCGCTTTCTGTTCTGCAGCCCACAGCTCAATGAGCTTTCCTTCCAGCTCTTCACAGAACACAACCCTCGGCATTTTCTCAAGATACTTCAACAAATACTTCAACAACTACATGTACATGTACCTACTTGCGAAACCCGGAAAAGCTACTTGAAAGTATAAAGTGGCCTTGTATCGGGGTTCGGAAGTTGCTGATTACGTTCAAGCGACTTTTTCACTTTCGCGCCGTTTCCCACGGTTCTCCATGACAACTTACAAGGAAAAGTGACTTGTACGCGGTTTTTGTTGTAGTGTGGATACCGCCTAAGGGCCCTTAGCTCGTAGCTTGCTGTACTGATGAGGCCTTTATGTAAATTATGGCCGAAACAGCTTGCTGTCTACAGCATTGGGTATCACGCTCCTCGGATTTCGCCTTGTTGAGCACTCTCAGTAGGCTGCTCTATTGCTGCTGCATCGCGCAATGTCAGCTACTTTTTGTAGTTAGAGCACTCTGGCGCTAGAGCGACGAGCTATCCTAATGTCTGTGGGGCCTCCTTTGCACCTTGGCTGGTAGCTCGGCCTATTTAGCTCGTAGCTGTACTGATGAGGCCTTTAGGGCCGAAACAGCTTGCTGTCTAGTCTACAGCATTGGGTATCACGCTCCTCAGATTTCGCCTTGTTGAGCACTCTCAGTAGGCTGCTCTAGTGCTGCTGCATCGCGCAATGCCCGCTTCTTTTTGTAGTTTGAGCACTCTGGCGCTAGAGCGACGAGCTATCTTTTAAAGGGGAAGTCCGGTGAATTTTTTTTAATTTCAGGGTCGGTAGAGTTTCGGGCGCTGAGTCGAATGGTGTTGGTCCCACGCGTCTCCGACAAAGCGTTCTCGAGATATTTCCGTTTGAAAAACTGAGTTTCCATGACGTCATGCGGCCGCGCCACACCCTCCGCAACGTCATAGCGTGCAGCTAGGTCAAAAGGAGTGTGTGAAAGCAATAGTGTCAGTGCTATTTCAAATGATTTGGCGACTGATATTAGGTGGTGCAAGCGACCCCGAAGACCTACCGTATTTCCACAAATAGTAGGCCGGTCTACTATTTGTTCAACCTCGTCCAAACCCGGCCTTATAATCGAGGACGGTCTTGTATTCGAGGACTGTCTTTTATTCTTTCAACCCAGTTTGACCCCGGTCTTCTATTTCTTGCCACACAGTTTTACCCCCGTTCTTCCATTTTCTTCTACACAGTTTGAGCTATCATGAGCACGGTCTTCTATTTTTCCCACAGTTTGAGCACGGTCTTCTATTTTTAACACAAGAACAAAGACTCATTTAGTAGGCCCGGTCTTCTAATAGGAGACGGTCTTTTATTTTTTCAATCGCCCACTGCCCCGGCCTTGTATACGAGGAAGGCGTTGTATACGAGGACGGCCTTTTTTTGCGGAAATACGGTAACTCCTTGTGAGAGTGAGGATGCAGCCATGGCTGACCTTCATGAGTTTGGTCTGGGGCTGAGAACCTCGGTATTCAGCTGAAGAAATGGCCGCGCGGGCCGGTCAAGAGTGAGCGCTACTGAGTTTCCGACTGATGAAGAAGCGGCAGCTATTGCAGACGAGGCTGATATAATTATCAGATCGCTGGAGAGCAGGGTCGCCAAAATGGAGAAGAGTGATGTGAGTGCTCTAAATGTTGTTCCATACCGATTCGCTTAGACTCCAGTAGCCTGCCACATAGGCCCATTGGGTAATGATGTCATGCGTACGCGACCAACCTGGAAAGTGCGGAGTTGTGGGCAGAAGCAAACCTCGGCCGTGTCAGCTGCTTCTGCAAGGAACACTTTTCGTAGTCTTTTGTTTGTCGGAGATGGAGGCGCAGGCTGTGAAGCTCTCCGAGGACGATGTGCCTGGAGCATCGTTAGGTCGGAATCCTGATGGCTCTCAACGCTTGGCAAGTCAACTTTCCGTGAAAGAATTGAAGCGTTGGCTAGCTTGCCGTAATGCTCGTCGATTGGGAACGAAACCTGAATTGCTGAAAAGGTGAGATTTGTGCTGGGATTTTTCTTTAGACTTAATTGCAAGACGGTATGGTAATACATGTGGTGAGTAGAACCGGGAAGTAACATTGTTTGGGTTTTACGTCACTTCGCCTTTAGTTAGGAATTATCCCACATATCCTCCCATAATCATTATTTTCCTTTTTCGGTTGTCAATGTTTTCAATTTATTTCGTTGTTTGGGTGTTGTTCTCTTTGTTCAACAGAGTTGAGGACTACATACGGGGGCTTGGCACATGAAATTGTTGACCCTGATGGTGGTGCAAACATTGCTGCTAAAGCTGAGCGTCTGAAGTCCGCAGGTGTCGTGCACCCCAATCTAAGAAGTGTCCCCCCATTCCCCACCGAGGGATGGAAGGATAATCTAAGTCAGCTGCCATCATTCTCATTCCGAACCCTGTATGTGCATTCCACAGAGCGGACGGTCCAGGAAGTCATCAGTGGGCAAGAGATTGCAAGAGGTGACGACACTGCTGCTATTCCTGCTACTTCACATGCCAGTGATTTTGCTGTGCTGTCGCTGCTGATAGTGCTGTAGCTGCTGATAGTGCTGTCGTTGCTGATAGTGCTGCCGCTGCTGATAGTACTCTCGCTGCTGAAGTTGATGACGAATGGGAGGATGATGACGGGGAGGATGACGAGGAGGTTGGTGATTCAGGCACAGCCGAGTACAGCTCGTTCCGTGGAATAGACAAAGGGTACGCGATAACTGTGTATACTTAGTTATGGCAAATGAAAATGAATTTGAGAAATTGATCACTATATCCGGTATATTACTACAGACCACCCTTTTCAGGTGATCTACGGATATTTCCCCTAGTTTGAGGGGATTATGGCTCATAATCCTCTCAAACCAGGGCATCTCATATCCACAGGAAATCCTGTGGATCCCCTCGGACGGTGGGTCGGACCCAGTCCTTCTACCAGCATAACCAAGAGAGCTAGCTACCTTGGCTGCTGCTTGAATATGCAAGAATGGGCCTTCCAGATAAGGTCTAAAAAGGAGAAGTGGCTATAGTTGTCAAAAGAAAAGCATATTGGTGAAACAAAACTAGGGAAGTGGCAATCTTTCTATCAGCAACAAACAAGAGCATCTTAATTTGCAACATGCTACATGAACCGGGTGTGCCGAACACCGGTAACCATAGAGACACACCACACTCTCATATAGATACTGGTTATAAATAGACCGAGTAAGGAAAATAATCCAATAGCCTATGGAGAGTATATGTAAATGAAATTGAGTCAATGACAACAAATGCTCGTCCAGCACACGAGTTGTCATAGAAACATTGAACGAAATGACAAAGACGCATAGTAATGAGCATCGCCGTTCAATGCAAACTTTGGTTTCTAGTGCAGTGTTTGGGAAATTCCTTCTTCCACAGACCTGAAAGATAAATCTTTGCAGCAGTTAGCCTACTACTAACTCAATGTCATTGGTTCTACATGTACGTGTAGATGTACCCATTCACGCTCTACTGGTCTTGTCAAATTTGTTCCACACGATCACAAACAATCCATCTTATTTCGGATACTCTTACACCATTTGACTGAGCCATGGGACGGACGTCAGTGTCTGACAATTCTTCATTGTAGTCTTTGATTTGTAGGGAATAAATCGCCTCCACGCCGGTAGGTGACAGACGAACAGAGCACATCAAATTATTTTCAAATAATTACAATATCTACTATTTCGTCGTCTTCACTTGATCGCTATCAGTATCGCTTTTCCTCACGGTCTTGTCAGCTACCAACAATCAGCAGAGTTCACGAGGCTTCGTCTTGGGAGACAAACCAAAGAAAGTGTGTGACAATCCGCATTCGCCTCAGTCAAACCAATAAGTGGATCAAAACCGGGAGAGGCGACGAACAAACGACTATATCAGAACTACCGGTACTTCGCGTTCGGTGTTCCGTTCGCAGTGCACTGGTTCATGCTTTTTCACCGTGGGGATGCAGCGCTGCTGATCACCCGAAAAGTGTTGTCTATACAGGATATTGCATAGTGTCCGCGAGGATTGTTTTTCATAATCTCCGCGGCGCTGCGCGCCTTGGGGATTTGAAAAATTATCCCCTCGGAACCGTGCAATATCCTATGCATAGCCTCCAACCTTATATAGGCGATACGTACTGTACTTGTGCGTAATGACTGGATACAGTGGTGTGGCAGACGATGGAGCACGCACTTAGCATCGGGTTGCTCGGTCAGGACTTGCGCATGGACAGTCTAGTAGTACTAGTAGTCACAGGCGG